ATAACAACAGCCATCTACTTAAAATATGGACATTCTCAAATTGCTGCAGACATACATCCATTTATGAAGATTTGTATATTTTACATGTATTTTGATCTGTATTTGTTTTATTTTTAGTTAAGAAACCTTGAGAATTCTAATGTTGGGTAGAAAGTGGAATATTAATGAATTTATGATAATAATAATAACAACTACATTATTGCTATTAATACTGCCATGGGAAGGTTCTGCAATGGCACAGCCTCTCAGAGGATGCCCTTTTTACTGATTGATTCTGAGGAAGGATCTGTAAAAAGTAGCAAAAACTGCTCTGGCAAAACAAGACAGCGTTGTTGTTGTTGTTGTTGTTGTTGTTATGTTTATGTATACCATGCTGTTTCTCACCATAAAGGAGACTCAAAGTGGTGTTGGGTGGAACTGGTGTGGTTGCCTCATACTTAGGCATTCAAGAGCTAAAACTTACACATTCAAGAGTTTTAACTATGGAATATGATGTCATGCTTTGTTTAGGCCTAATTTAGAAAGAATTGTAGTGTCAGCATGCTGATGGTCTGAAATGCAGAAATAGCCATGGCAAAGTCAGCCTTCCTGTCCTAGGAAGGTTATCAGGTTCTCAGCATTAGAAGCAAGGGAATCAGTCATATGATGTGTTGAATATTGTGGGTTGCAGTGAGAACTAATACCACTTCCTTGATGTAAAAATGAAAATGATTTAACTTTTGTGATATGGAATAGACTTACCATTCACCTCCACAGCTGCATCTATTCTGCCATTGATTCCAGAGAACTCATCTTCAATGCTCTTTGGGAAATCATTCTCCATTTTCCTTTTTACTTCATCAAAGCTGTAAAGAGAGAGAGGAGAATCAGACAGGAACTCGATAGATCTATCTATCTATCTATCTATCTATCTATCTATCTATCTATCTATCATCTATCGCTGGTCATTTATTTATGCAAAATATTCCTGAAATATCAATCCACTGTAATTATTGTTATAGGGTTGCAACCTTGGTTTCAACATGACTTTCAAGCATGTATAAGCATTAATGTATTGTGTTACACCAACTTCATCATCTAGTTATTACTTTATGTTTACCTTTTCATAAGAAAATAAGAAATGCCTTCTTGAAAAAGGCTACAGACCTTATCACACGGGGCTGAAATCAGTGGCATGTGCTGATCTAGTCCTGGTCACCCATGGAGCCAGCTGGCTCCCATCAGACAATGTTGTGCTGGCTCCGTGGGTGAAGGAGGGCAGAACACCAATATATTTTTATGAGGAGGCAATGATACAGGAACCTGTAATATTCATCTCCTACAAAGAAGAGTGTCTTCTTTTCATCTTTTAGGTGAACAGCTGCATCAATGTGGAGCACATTCCTAGGAAACCCAAAGTCTGCAATGGTTCGGGGAGGACCCAGAAATTGGAAACCGCGAGTTGTCCAGTAATGAGGGCCTGGGAAACAAAAAAATAAACATGACATTAGGTGTGTATGTGTGTGTGCAAAGACATCAATGGATAAAAATAACAAAGCAAGGTGTCATTATAAGAACTCCATAAAAGCTAGCAAGCTCTCCTATGGTATTATGCTAACACTGGACTGAGATAAATTCACTTTTAGTAGAAGTCAGAGAATACGGGGAAAATTGAGAAGAGATGGAAAGATCTCAAAGAATATTGGTGTACATCTCAGAAGAGTTAAGATAGGTGGATAAGAGTTGAGGAGACTATGGGTTCCTGGAAAGGTTGTTGTTGTGTGCCTTCAGTAGCTTTCTCTATGGTCACCTTAAGATGATTCTATGATTTCTTTTTTAAGGCCAACTGTATGTGAATTACCCAAAGTCACCTTATAGGTTTTATGGCTGAATGAAAATTCAAACCCTGTTCTCCAGATGGCAGTCCAATGTTCAAACCACTATGTCATACTGGCTGCTACTGGAAACTACTTAATGTTATTATTTCTGCCCTCCTCAAGACATAAAATTCTTTAAGGGCTGAACACTATTGCATTTTCAATTAAACACAATGGCACTTTCCTTTCAGGCACATTTGTAGCCTGAATTTCCTGATGTCTAACAATGGGATAGTCAAGGAAAGGGTTTAGGGATGAAGGCTTCTTGGCAAACTTGCTTTTGCTTCTAGCATGAAATTTAATGTAAAGAAGGGCTGTTTGCACCTGGGGGTCCAGAAAACATGGATCATGGGCTCTGTTTGTCTAATGGGCTCCTGATTTTAGCAGACTTCAATTCATGACATTGTGATTAATCACTATATGTTTCAAATATCTGGCAATGACATATGTTGTGGTATCTGATGCTGCTCATAAGAGCAGTGTAACAAACTGATGAATGAAAAAGTGGTAGAATGAACTAGACCACTTTTCACTTCAGATGAAGTACTGACATTTTTTTAAAAAAATCCTAGAAATACAAGTTAGAATCCTATTGGTTTACTATGTTGGTGTAGTGGCAGAGACTGGCATACATCATGAAAGAAAAAAAGGCACTATGAAGACATAGGTCACTCATAGCCACCAGATTGTCTTATTTACTTACTTACTTACTATATCTATATACCGTCCCTCTCAGCCCACAGGCAACTCGGGGCAGTCTTACTTTCTCTCATACATGAAAAAAGTGAAAGAGCACCAAGCATCTTCCCTCTCTAGACTTCTGTTATAGGCTGAATATCCCTTATCTGGACTGTTTGGGATCAGATTTCTTTGGATGTTGAAATACCTATGTACATGTATATTTCCACATAGACATTTGAACCAGGACTCCAGAGTCTTAATCCAACACAGTAACCACTATATCACATTGATGTATGTTATCAATATAAAATAATAATGATAATAATGATAATAATTTTTATTTATACCCCGCCACCATCTCCCCAACGGGGACTCAGAGCAGCTTACATGGGGCCAAGCCTGGACAACATATTACAGCAAAAATAAAACCAAAACATAAGCAACAAACAACAGCATCAAATGAAGAATAATCCTTGGTATTCCTGGGCTTTTTTATTTTTTAAAAGAAACACACACACACACTCCAAAATGAGTTCACAAATGTTTCCAACGTGACCAACCTTTGAAGAAATAAGCAACTCCTCTATTGGGCACTTCATAGGCAGCATCTACATTGGACATGAGCTGAGGGAAGGAGCTTCTGATGGAGAGTGGCTGGACGCTTGCTTTGAGTTGAGTCTCCCTTCTCCAGAAGAGCCTGTAGAAAGTGAAGGAAGAAAGTCAGACTTGGCCATGGTGGTCCATCCTCTCGTTATATCTAGGATATACTATTGCAACACAATCTATGTGGTGTCGCCTTTGAAGACTGTTCAGAAGCTTCAAATAGTCAAATGAAAGGCAGCCAGGTTAATAACCGGGGTGGCATACAGGGAGCTCACAACACCCATGTTGCCTCAGCTCCACTGGTTGCCAGTTTGCTACCTGCCCTGGCCCAATCTACCTGTCTGAACACATCTCCCTCTATGAACCACATGAAGATTAAGATCTTCAGGGGAGGTCCTGATCTCGGTCCTGTCACCGTCATTTGTGTGATTGCCAGGGATGAGAGAGAGGGCCTTCTCAGTGATTGCCCCTCAGCTATGAAACTCCCTTCCTGTTGAGATTAGATCAGCCCCCTCCTTCATGTCCCTCAGAAAGATGGTAAAAACTTGGCTGTGATACCAAGCTTTGGTGTCCCAATAAGGTAACAATAGGAAACTTTATCCTGCTGACTAGATTCTATTTGGATGATCTGAGATGGTTTAAAACAATTGATTTTAAAGTGGAGATAACTGAGTTTAGTGTTTATGTGTACAGTTTATTTTATGTTCCGGCATTGAATGTTTGCTGTATATATGTTATGCTCCACCCTGAGTCCCCTTTGGGGCGAGAAAGGCAGAATATAAATGCTTTAAATAAATAAATATGAAATGGGGAAAAAGCTTATTTCTATTGTTGCTTTGAAATGATAAAATTGCTCACTTTGTTTCCAGGGGGAGAAATTCCAAATTATATAGGCTGTGATTCAATATCAGTTTGGTGGAATGAGAGCCTACTTGCTCTTTCCTGACTACTGAATAGATATGGGGCTGCACATGTGTGTTTGTAAATGAGGACCATAGCTATGCCAGAAGGTATTGGATACTTTCTTATGCAATGACCTGAACAATATAGAAGTTTATATCAGTAAATATTAGGGCTTAAATATCCCAGAAGCACCAGTTCCTCTCTCATAACCTCATAAAGGGTTCCTGTGGCATTATGATATAACATAGATGTGCTATACTGTCTCCTGGAGTGCACAGTTGCACTGCCAATTGGGCAACTTGCACCAAAAGAACGTGCATTTCCATTGCACAACAGCAGACTGGCTCTAAATTCATGCACTGTGAAAAGTGGCTCTCCTTGCTGAAGCAGTTGTGCTTTGAGAAGATCCTAAAGACTGCAATTGCCAGTGTAAGGGCACTGAAGTTGGTGTATGTCATTGACAGGATTCTAGCCTCAATCCCTTGGCTACTGTCCATGATGGCTGGGAGATTCAGAAAACTGTAATCCTAAAAAGTCATGTTTCCAAGTTCTTGTTATATTGGCAGAATGGCACATGAATGCGAAATATAGATTTCAAATATTGATTCGTAGCTACAGATCTGTAAATGATTCCTTGGAAAATACTGTGTAAACAGTGACGAAGCAAAAAAAGGAACTATTGGCCTTTTCTATTAGACATGAGCTAACTAACTTTCAATCTGTCAAGAAAGCCAAGTCATTCCAATACAGGAAGCACATAAAAGGAACACCTCAATGAATCATGTTCTTCGGAACCAAAACGCCATGTGAAGCAATAAGCTTAGATCACAAGGATATGGAGTCTGAATTAAATTACCATGTTTGGTTAGCAAATCCAGAAACTATTCTTAAACAAATCAGCAGACAAAGGTTCTATACATGCGTGACCGCATTTCTGTGTATGAACCCACACAATCTCTTCGATCATCTGGAGAGACCCTGCTCTCGCTCCCGCCCCTTTCGCAGGTGCAATTGGTGGGGACGAGGGAGAGGGCCTTCTCTATGGTGCCCCCCCGACTCTGGAACTCACTTCCTTAGGATATCAGGCAAGCCCCTACATTGGCAGGAGGAGGAGCCTAAAAATGTGGCTGTTCCAGTGTGCCTTCCCTAAATAAGGAAATAATCCCCAGCAAAATGTCCTCAGAAGGACTTAACTACTCATTGGGTTGCTCTCCCTTCATTTCTTTTAAAACCCTCCTACCAGATACATCCTTCCTCTGTTCATGCCCAGCGTTTATTTTTTAAATTTCAAATTATTACATTTGGCCCGGCCATAGGTTTTTAAATCCTTGTGCATTACTGTTTACATGTGAGTTATATTAATTGTATTGTTTTTGTTTATTGTTTTTTGTTTTATTGATGTGTTGTCGGGCTTGGCCTCATGTAAGCCGCTCTGAGTCCCCTTGGGGAGATGGTGGCGGGGTATAAATGAAGTTTTATTATTTATTTATTTTCCTGGATCTTGCATGAATTTGCAATAACATGGATAACAGTGAGCCCCCTTGCAGTGAAGATCTTCTGGTTCAATGAACATCATAGTTATAATTGAGGGTCTAGAATATGCCTAAATACTGTATGACATATTTTGTTATATATCAGTCGTTCTCAACCTGTGTGTCCCCAGGTATTTTGGCCTGCAACTCCCAGAAATCCCAGCCAGTTTACTAGATGTTAAGATTTCTGGGAGTTGAAGGCCAAAACATCTGGGGACCCACAGGTTGAGAACCAAGATTGTTTTCTGCTGTCTTGGAGACTAGGATGTGGAGCAATGACTTCAAACTACAGGAAAGGAGATTCCACCTGAACATTAGGGTGAACTTTCTGACTGTGAGAGTTGTTCAGCAGTGGAACTCTCTGCCTTGGAGTGTAGCGGAGGCTCCTTCTATGGAGGCTTTTAAACAGAGGCTGGATGGCCATCTGCTGGGGGTGCTTTGAATGCAATTTTCCTGCTTTTTGGCAGGGGGTTCGACTGGATGGCCCATGAGGTCTCTTCCAATTCTATAATTCTATGATTCTATATATGGATAAATGAAACTGGGTTTCTGTCCATGGATATCGGGGTCATACTATACCTTTCAGAAATTGAAACTACTAACCATTGGCAGATTTCACAAATTGGAGATCATCTTACCTATCTTTGAAGAAAAGAAGTTCCTTGCCCAGCATGGTGACAGCATCAAATGAAAATCTGGAGTCACAGTGGTCCGGAATAGTTGGTGCTGGTGGTTTGGGCACAGGCACATGTGGTACTTGGGGCACTCTAGAGCTAGTTAGCCGTGACCCTGAAATACCACATGCAAAAGTATTTGACCAGGAAGTGAAATTTAAGGCAACACTGATGAGCAATTTAGGTGAGAACAACACAGCACGTTTCTAAGACTGGAAACATTAAAAAACTTAATATGTTAAAAAAAAAACGGAAAGTGGCCAGACATCAACATCCTATTTTAATTTTTGGAGTTGTAAGTCTTTGGGCGATAGCTAAGGGCAATCTATTTTACAAAGAATCCACCTTTTTTTCCTAAATAATTCTGAGCATGGCTGCCCTGCACAGGCCTGGGCTGAAATAGTAGCCCTGGAGTCTATAGCTTTGTGCAATACTAATTGGGCATAAGGTCACTGAAGACAATGGGACATGTGTATAATAAAATATACCCAGGGTATATTTTATTATACACATAGTTCAGCAATTGATTCTGAACCTGAGTTTCACACAATGAAGCTTATTTGAGATACTTCGAGGCATTTACAGAACTGTGTAGAACCAGCTTTGTATTGTGGTTCATGATCTAGGACTTTGAGAAGATTGGTTTTGCAGCTATAGAAACCCACTTGGTGACCTTGGGCAAGTCATGCTATTCTAGGAGGGAGCCAATGGCAAACCTTCTCCAGAAAAAACCCTTGAATAGAGGCATTACATATTGGTGACCACATAGCAGAAAAAATAATAAAATAAAGGCTTTCTTAAGAAATTGAATGCATTTGTGTTGGTTCCATTTTTTTGTTTGTTTTTGCAAACAAGGAGGAATGACAGCTACTTTAAAGAATTGCTCCACTTTATGTGAACATATATCTTCTGGATTTGCATATTTGGGTGTTTTGAAATATTCTTGATTTTGTACCCATGGGCATTTATATACTCAGCAATATACCCCAGATTAAAACATTGTATTTTCCAGAATTGTGCAGGAGCAAACTGGGCAATAGGGAAACGGGAACCTGCTCTTTAGAACTCTAATGTGATAGCGTTAAAAATGAATGGGATGACATCACCACACTCTGAAGCTATGAAAATAGTCTAGTCATATGATGGTGTCACTGAAAGCAAATGTGAGTAAGAACACTGGAACCAATACAACACAGGCATGCTTCCATGTTGGAAAAATGCTTCCACCCCACTTGTGAGTGGGGCCTCCACTGGAAGTCCAGCAATGTTGTGGGATGGGTAGCATGCCCATCCATCACTGGACTGGTGGGGAAGCATCCTAGATGCTTCCTGAGCCCCTTCTGATGAGGTGGTGAATATTAAACACTTCAAATGATAAGTTCATCAGAATATTAATTTTACAGAAGTACTGTTCTTTTTTCTCCTGGGTTTGATGAATAATGCAAATAATATTTCTAAATGGTGCAAAAATGAAATATTGCAAAATTCAGCCAATTTCCAGTTAGTATCTAAATTGAAAATCTAAATCTAAACATGCCCTTTCAAAAATGATGGACATTCTCAGGTCTTATCATCTATGTATCAGAGTATGCACATTTTAAATAATATTTTGTTTAAATTAAAGCTGTGAAAACCAGATGAAGGAGCATCAACAACTTAAAATCTGCAGATAACACCCTTATGAGTAGCAGAAAATAACAAAGACTTGGAATGGCTATTGAAAAATGTCTAGGAAGAAAGTGCAAATGAAACAATACAGTTGAGCATTAACAAAATAATTATAATAACCATAGATGATTTACATAATTTTGAAGTAGATAATGAAATCAATGAAGTCATCAGAGATTTTCTAAACCTTGGCTCAGTCACTAATCAAAATTGAGATTGTAGTAATGAAATCAGATGAAGACTAGGACTTAGAAAGGAAACCATGAAGGAACTAGACAAGATCCTGAAGTATATATAGATACATCAGGATTGCCTGTGTCATCTTATTTTTTATATCTATTGAAAGGACATTGAGGAAAGTTGATAGAGAGAGAATACATTCATTTGAAATATGGCTGCTGGAGAAGACTTCTGCAAACACCATTAACTGCCAAAAAGTCAAACAAATTGATCTTCCTAGAAGGTAAGATGACTAAGATTGGGCACATCATAAATATATAATATGGCTCGTTAGGAAAGACAATTATGCTTGGCAGGGTAAAAGGTACCAAGAAAAAAAGGCTGCATTCCAGATGGATAGGCTCAATCAAGAAAGCCATTGCCATGAATCTTCAAGAACTGAGCAGGGCTTATGATAATAGGTAACTTAGAGGTCTCTCATTCCTAGGATTGCGGTAGGCTGAAGTTGACTTGATTGCCATTAACAACAACATAGCAATTGCTAAAGTTTAATGAACTGATATCTAAATATTCACAAATTTAGATGCTATGAGAGAAAGATGGGGTATACATCCATTTTTTTTTCATGTCAGGAGCAACTTGAGAAACTGAAGGTCACTTCTGGTGTGAGAGAATTGGCCATCTGCAAGGACATTGTCCAGAGGATGTCCAGATGTTTTACCATCCTTGTGGAAGGCTTCTCCCATGTCCCCAGAGGGAGCTCATCCATGCTCTTCCTGAATTTGAACCTCTGACCTATCAATCTTCAGTCCTGCTGTCACAAGTGTTTAACCCATTGCACCAGCGGGAGATAAATGCAATTGATAAATATCAATATTTAATGAGTTTTTTGAAGGATCATGGTATTAACAAACCGATGCCGAGGAACCCTATAAAATATTGTATAGAATAAGTTTAATTCGTGCATGCATACCTATCAGCATCCAGTCAAAATTTGCATGTATGGATTAATGTCCATTATTGCCCATAGATTACGCATGACAAGCAGAACTTTCATATCACCAAATACAGCCCAACTTCTAAAATAAAGGCCGTTCACATATTAAACACACATTATATACGGCGCAATTAAGTGATGAAAGTATCCATATTTCATATTTATTTATGACTTTTGTATAGTGTCCAGCTAGAAAATGTTGTCAGGAATAGTAACATTTATGAAGAAAAAAACCCCCCAACAAACCAGTAACATTGGATTTTGCAACCAAATTAAATAAACAGGCAAGCTATTATTTTAATAGTCTTACCATATAATGCCTGGATTCCTTTCACATCGTCTTTGGGGAGTTGGAAGCCAAATGGATGTTGATATTTGTATGTTGGATACATCAAAGCTGATGGATCAGCAGAATGAGCAAGACCCAGCGCATGACCGAATTCATGAGCAGCAACAGTGAACAAATTAAATCCTGTGCAATACAAAGCAATGTTTGTTCTACAAGAAGATGCTTCTGGACAAAACATAAACACAACATGCAATTCATGTGATGTTTGTGTCATGTTGTCAACATTAATAGTTTCCATAGACATTGTGCCACCATGGTGCACTATGAAATGACTGTTGAATATCTGATAGATTACTCTACAAATAAATAGTTATTTTCTTTATGAGTGCTAATGATCAATAGATGTTTTTGTAATGACTCAGAATGTAGTACCACTTAGGCTGGGGCTGAAAACAATGTTCTGCAAGATATATGTGTACCAAGATGCAATTTAGTATCCAATGAATGTTTATGCTAGCTCAGAGTGTGCACGGTGACATCTGCCAATCCTTCGAAATTGCATAACCCTCAATTTTCTAAAAAGATTGGCACATTTCTGGCATTTTTCGCTCCGTAACCAGACAAAAAACCCCACAAATACATGGAAGCAAACAAAACTACCTCAACTCACTGATATCAATTCGTAAATCCTGTCCAAAGCTTTGCAGAATTACTTCTGTCCACCATTTTGAGAGGGACTTTGAAAAAATTGAGATATTGCAGGAGGCATTGTGACCAATGCAGAAAAGTGAAATCTTGCACTTTACTCAATTGTATACTTCCTCAGGCATGTAGCCGGGGGGGGGGGGGGGGCGGGGGGCTTCAGTCCACCCCCCCCCGAAATTCTCATGGTGGTTCGCGAAAAGGCCTTACTGGTGCATTATTTAAACTGTTATGTTTATTCATATCATGATCTGATCACCATACTCAATATATCCCATATGCATGGGGGTATTGGGGTAATGATACAAAAGGTTTGCTAGTTTAGACCCTCTTTCGCTCAGACTCTGCCCCCGAAACTCAGCCCCCCCACCCCCCCCCCAAAATTCAGCCCCCCCCCCGAAACAAAATCCTGGCTACGGGCCTGTACTTCCTGCAGTGGTGTTTTAATTGAGTACTGTCCTTACTAACCTGTCCAAACAGATTTTCCCCTAAGAACCATCTCAAAGTTTAAGGTTGTCCTGGGAGGCCCTGCTCTCGGTTCTGCTTTCTTCGTAGACACAACTGGCGGGGACGAGAGACAGGGCCTTCTCAGTGGTGGCCCCTCGGCTGTGGAATTCCCTCCCCAGGGATATTAGATCAGCCCCCTCCCTCCTGACCTTCCAAAAAAGAACAAAAACATGGCTTTGCTATGCAATAGACAAATACAGAATTATGTGCAAGGATGAATGGAACGGCCCAGATTATGAATATGAATAGCGTGGTTTAACAGTGATGCTCTTTAAATGTTTTGATGTATTTTATAATCCTATTTCAACGTTTGTTTTAATTTTACATTGTTTTTAGTGGCATCGAATAGCTGCCTATGTTATAAACCCACCTTGAGTCCCTTCTGGGGTTGGGAAAGGCGAGGTAGAAATGTTGTAAATAAATAAATAAATAAATAAATAAATAAATAAATAAATAAACAATACAGTTTAACTTACTTTTATAGTCTGCTTTCAAATAAAATTTACATGGTTTTAATTCTACAGATTACCTAATTGTTTATCATAGGCTTAAAATAGCACTGGTTTTCACATTTTTAAGCCCTTTGTGGGCGAGACAACGATCCAAATATAATGCATTTTGCTATTTCTCAATGCTGAAGGCTCAAGAGTTTGAGTAATGGTTTCTTCAGAAATATGACATGTCCCTTTTATATTCATGTTGAACTATATCTTAGCTATTTTTGTCATGCCTGATTAGTTTGGTACACGCTGTGCCTTCTGGACATTTTTTGCGGTCATTAAATAGCTTTACTCATACCATTCATCCCCATTGTCCATTTCTCTGCGTTGTCAAAATGAGTGTCTCCACCCAGTCCTTCCCCAGGTGCAAAAGCATGTGCAAGAGTCCCACGAGGCCCATCAAATGGGTAGGAATCTCCATGATCTAACAGAGAAGAACATAATGCCACATTACAATCAGAATCATAGAATCATAGAGTTGGAAGAGACCTCATGGGTCATCCAGTCCTACCCCCTGCCAAGGAGCAGAAAAATCACATTCAAAGCACCCCTGACAGATGGCCACTCAACCTCTGCTTAAAAGCCTCCAAAGAAGGAGCCTCCACCACACCCTGGGGTATGTTCAGGTGGAATCACCTTTCCTGTAGTTTGAAGCCATTGTTCCACATCCTAGTCTCCAGGGCAGCAGAAAACAAGCTTTCACCCTCCTCCCTATGACTTCCCCTCACATATTTATACATGGGCCTCATCATGTCTCATCTCAGCCTTCTCTTCTGAAGAGAAGCTCTTTAAGCCGCTCCTCATAGGGCTTGTTCTCCAGACCCCTGATCATTTTAGTCGCCCTCTTCTGGACACATTCCAGCTTGTCAACATCTCCCTTCAATTGTGGTGCCCAGAATTGGACACTGTGTGGTCTGATAGAGGGGTAGCATGATTTCCCTGGATCTAGACACTATACTCCTATTTATGCAGGCCAAAATCCCATTGGCTTTTTTAGCCGCCACATGACATCGTTGGCTCATGTTTAACTTGTTGTCCACGAAGACTCCAAGATCTTTTTCACACCTACTGCTGTCGAGCCATGCGTCCCCCATTCTGTATCTTTGCATTTTATTTTTTCTGCCTAATTGAGTATCTTGCATTTGTCCCTGTTGAACTTCATCTTGTTAGTTTTGGCCCATCTTTATAATCTGTTAGGATCATTTTGAGTTCTGCTCCTGTCTTCTGGAGTATTAGCTATCCCTCCCAATTTGGTGTCATCTGCAATCTTGATGATCATGCCTTCTAACCCTTCATCTAAGTCATTAACAAGCCTAGCACATATATAGTAGCCAAAATATAAATTGCATGATTTGCACAACTGTGATTTTTGGACCCCTCAAGGTCACAAGATGTGCGTATTCAAGGCTTTGAAAAGTTGCTGCTTTCGGAGCTAACTGGGTGGCTCTAGAAATGGTTGGCCAGAAGATTATCCTTTCAAACTGCTGGTTGTTGTCATGAAAATTGATAATTATTATAGCCCTCTCTTCCAAATGTGTCTTTCATCAGATTTTTTTTTAAAAAAGACTATAGCTGAGATCTTACCCCTAGGGCTATGATGGTGGAGCTGCATCCCTGACAGGATATGCAACCATGTCAGAGCATTGTGATGCTATCCAATGGGCAAGATGTTTCATTGTGCCAGGCTCATTCAAAAATAATGATTTTTTTTCTCAGTATATATTTATTCAAAATGGGACTCCTGTTTGGAGAATGTTCCATTATACAGCAGGGGCTCTCATTGAAAAACTGGCCACTAAAAAGGAGGAACATTTTAATGGCTAGACCCAAGGCATCCATCTACTGTTGTTAGTTCTGGATTACCAATGACCTCAGTCTCTATTGGGGTCCATAGCCTACTTTTTTCTTGCATTGCCATTTCACAAGCGCAGCCTGTCCTGCAAAGTGCTGTGCCACACTGCTCATTCTACTTGTCCTGCTATTATGGCTCCATAATGCTCCTCTCTGGGAAATATGTCTTTTGTGCATAGTTGCAATTCTATGAATTGGCTTACTGTTTTGTAAATTCACAGCAGGATGCTAGCCAATGTTATATTCTCTTGTTTACTTTTGGCTTGTTAACCGCTCATAACTCTGCCTTTTTTGGAAAGCTCTGTAGTTTCTGAAGCTGTGTATTATTCTGACTTGTGCTATCTCATCTTTTAAAGCTATGTAACTTTTATATAGCCTCCTCCCCAGTGGTGCAGTGGGTTAAACTGCTGAGCTGCAGAACTTGCTGGTCGAAAGCTTGGTGGTTCAAATCCGGGGAGAGGGGTGTGCTCCTGCTGTTAGTCCCAGTTTCTGCCAACCTAGCAGTTCGAAAACATGCAAATGTGAGTAGCTCGATAGGTAGCGCCATGGTGAGAAGGTTTTTTTTTTTGGTCATGTCAGGAGCAAGTCACTTCTGGTGTGAGAGAATTGGCTGTCTGCAAGGACGTTGCCCAGGGGACGCCTGGGTGATTTGATGTTTTTATCATCCTTGTGGGAGGCTTCTCTCATGTCCCCGCATGAAGAGCTGGAGTTGATAGGGGGAGCTCATCCGCCTCTCCCTGGATTCAAACCTGCGACCTGTTGGTCTTCAGTCCTGCCGGCACAGGGGTTTAACCCACTGCGCCACCAGGGGCTCCGTCGAGAAGGTAACGGCACTCCATGCAATTATGCTGACCCTATGACTTTGGAGGTGTCTATGGACAACACTGACTCTTCAGCTTAGAAAAGGAGATGAACACTATCCCCCAGAATCAAACACGACTAGACGTAATATCAGGGGAAACCTTTATGTTTACTTAAGCTTTATATTTCTACAACATTCAGGAGGTTTTTTGTGTGTGAGGGTTTTTTTTCTTTTTGGAGAGCTCTGTAGCCTTCATGGGAAAACTACAATTTCCAGAAAGCTATGCTGTTTTTAAGAAAGTTCTGCAGCTTTCTACAGAAAGGTATGCTGTTTCCTGTCATTGTGCAGGAAAAATTCTAAAGTGTTTCAACACTTCAGAGGGAAAGCTGTATTATCATTCACTCTGCTGCCCCCCTTTTTACATGGCATTAGTGATGAGGACCTTTCAAGTTTAGCAACAAATGCCTATTTAGTATAAACACCACGCTTTATATGAATGTCATTGTTTTACCCAGTTAATCTCGACAGATACATGATCTTACCCTAATAACTATAATGCCAAAGCATTTAGCATCAAATATGGTGGGCTTCTAGCAAAGCAGTTACCTCCATTTTCAAATGAAATCATAATATCTGCTTCCCCCGTTGTTGTCTTTACGAAGTTCAAAGGGGCAGCAGCGCTCCATGCTTTCAAACCCATCTCCACAGCCTTGTCCACTTCCGCATGACTTAAACTGGGAGTATATTTTTTCACTCTGGAGAGAGAAAAGACACATTTCACGATCTCCATATCCAAGATTTCCTTTTTTCACTTAGGGTCTCCTGGAACCTCCTGATCCTCCATTATTCAAAAATAATAGGATTTGCTATTATCTACAATTTCACAGATATACACAAAGTCCAGAAATATATCTCCTATGGATACCGGGTATGATGCAAAATGCAATGACAACTGAATTGTTACCCAACTAGGGCCCCTTCCAGACAGGTCCTATATCCCAGGATCTGATCCCAGATTTTCTGCCTTAAACTGGATTATATAGTCCACATTGCCAGACAATCTGGGATAACCTGGGATCAGAAAACCTGGGATCAGATCCTGGGATATAGGGCCTGTCTGGAAAGACTCTTGGTAGGGAGAACTCTTTCTACTAAATTCAAAAGAAGAAGAAGAAGAAGAAAGTATTGTATTTTCTCCATACTTATGAGCATCTATTAAAAATAATGTTCGGATGACCATGGAATGATGATGCAAACATGATAAACTTGAAGCAATTTGTGGAGGGGGTAATATGCAATGGAGTACTGGGAAAAAGTTACTATTCTCCTGATCCAGGCATGTAGCTGGGGGGGGGGGGGGTTGCTTGAAATTCTCAGGGTGGTCCGCGAGAAGGCCTTACTGGTACATTATTTAAACTGTTATGTTTATTCATATCATGATCTGATCACCATGCTCAATATATCCCATATGCATGGGGGTATTGGGATAATGATACAAAAGGTTTGCTAGGGTAGACCCTCTTTCACTCAGACTCATCCCCCCCCCCCCAAATCAAACTCAGCCCCTCCAGAAACAAAATCCTGGCTACGGGCCTGTCCTGATCCAAACTTTTGGGGATAATCTTGAGAAAACTGAAATCAAGAAGGCATCATAAGTGGAAAGAATTAGCTACCCTCATCTTAGCTGGCTCAGTGTTTCTCCTGGTCCTGAAAAAGAAATAAGTACTGCTATCCTACATGGACGGGTGATTTTTGGAACTCTATATGTACTTAGCTATATAGCAACAGCACTAAGAAACCCTTTTCTGAATTGTAAACTCCAGCACATATGTTTTAAAATAACAAGCTTTGGAATGGGTCAAAGCAATTAGATTTATTAGCTTAATATAGATTTTCCAGATAATATGCTGGGAGTATTATTGAAAAGTCATAGGTATATAGAAAACAAACCTTACTGAAAGTCATCAAGATTTTCTACAATCCATTTTAAAGTTTTCAGAATGTCAAGACACATTTTGAAGAAGGAATTCAGTAGCAGTTAACTATTGAATCACTTCCTCAATCACCTTTATACAAAGTCCTTCACCAGAATCCAGAGCAAATGTAATACTTTGAGGGACAAGATGAATAAACCTTGCATAGTTTTTTTTTTACAGATTAAACAACACAAAACTGGGAGTTATTTATTTATCATGTCAGAAGTGGACCAGTAGTAATGTATTTTAAAAACACAAAATTTAAAAAATTGACATTATACTAAATGCCCTTTACTTCTAGCAGAGTCACTTTTTGTATTAGCTACCTGGCATGATATAAGAGTCTAGAGTTGCTGAATTTATCAACTCCTGAGGAAGAGGACTGCTTTCCCCGAAACAGGGTACAAAAATACCCGGGCACCCCTGTTGAATGCCATTCGGACTTTTCCTACAGAGACTTATTTTGAGAAGCAGTGCTCCATTTTCACTGGACTTAATTTGGATTTATTCCATGAAGATTTTTGAGAGTGGTGCTCCATCTTCATTATTGACTTCAGTATACATATAGCCTCATGACTCTATGCTTACTTTGTGTATGATTTATCTCATTGTATGTATCCCTGAAGCCTATATACAGTGGTACCCTTGTTCAGACCTGGAACTGTTACATTTGAGAGCGGTTGCTCCTTTTGATTTTGTTTTGGGCCACTGAATTGAGCTATATACTCGGGATTTTGTTAAATAGCATACTATATGCTCTTTTGACATTATATTTTGACATTATACATAGACTGTTTTGTGTTTGTGCTGATACCCTACAAGTACTCTGGGATATTGTATATCTGCATCTTGTGGTGCCAGAATGCAGTCTGTTCAGTACCTTCCAAGTCACCCACTCATCTGTGTGCCCAGAAAGGAGTCTCTCATTCGGCATCAGCCATGGCTTGAGGTTCCAGGTTTTAACCTGCCACTTTTAGACTCTGACTTGCTGAGGTGTTCCTGCGAGTATCTCTGCAGATCTTAGAAAATTACTTCTTGATTTAAGGTGTTGGTGTGCTGACTGATATTCGAACAAGAGATAGGCTGGAGAGGTTACTGCCTTGATCCTTTCATTATTGGCTGCTACTTCCCAGAGGATGTCAGGTGGTGCAATACAAGCTAAACAGTATACTTTCTCCAGTGGAGTAGGGCATAGATGTCCTATGATAATGCAGCATGTCTCATTAAGAGCCACATCCACTGTTTTAGCATGGTGAGATGTGTTCCACACTGGGCATGCATACTCAGCAGCAGATTAGCAAAGTGCAAGGGCAAATGTCTTCACTGTATCTGGTTGTGACCCCCAGATTGTGCCTGTCAGCTTTTGTATGATATTGTTTCTAGCACCCAGTTTTTGCTTGATATTCAAGCAGGGCTTCTTGTAGGTCAGAGCACGGTCCAGGGTAACTCCCAGGTATTGAGTGTGCTGCAGTTCTCCAGTGGGATTCCTTCCCAGGTAATCCTCAGAGCTCAAGATTCTTGTCTGTTCTTAAGATGAAAAGCACATGTCTCTGTTTATATGGATTAGGAATCAGCTGGTTTTCCCTGTAATAGGCAGTAAGAGCACCTAGAGCTTTGGAGAGCTTCTGCTTGATCATTTCAAAGCTCCCTGCTTCAGTGGTGATGGCACGATCATCAGTATAGATGAAACCCTCTGTCCCTTCTGGCAATGGCTGGTCATTTACGTAAATGTTGAACATTGATGGAGCAAGCATGATCCCCTGAGGCAGGCTGGTCTTCTATTTTCACCATCTGCTTCTCTGGCCCTGGAATTCAACAAAAAAGCTCCTGTTTTGTAGCAGATTTCCTATGAAGCAGGTGAGGTGGTAGTCCTTTGTGATATTATAAGTCTTTCTCAGGAGAAGGTGATGATTTACAGTGTCATAGGCTGCTGACAGGTCTATGAAGACAACTCCTGTGATCTGTTGCCTTTCAAAACCGTCTTCTATATGTTGAGTCAGGTTCAACACTTGCGATGTGCAGGTTTTTCCTTTCCTGAAGCCAGCTTGCAGTGGAATCAGACATGGGTCTATTTTTCCATAATTCTATGAAAAATAAGTCTCTTCAGAACTTAGTAAAGATGGCACAACAAGGAGATTGGTCTATAGCTTTTTTGGATCATTGCGGCCTTTGCCTGGTTTCAAGATGACTATGACTCTAGCTTTCCTCCAGATTTTGGGGATCTGACAGAATGCAATGCAGTTGTTCATCACCTTCAGCAGCCATCACCTTGCTTTTTAATTTGTTTAATCTGTAGATCATCCAGGCCAGCTGCTTTGCCATTTTTACATTTCTTGAGAGCCATGTCTAATTCAGTAGATGAATTGGGAGTGGAAGTAAGGGTCCCAAGAATCTATAGTGAAACTAGTTCTTTTCCAATTGTTAAAAAAGTTCTATAAGTAACAGTGTGCAGGGATATGGCTGCATTTTTGATAAAAAGTCAGAAGAAAAATGAATTGTGATATATTTTGAAAGGATCTCTTTCAAGTTGGGGAATTGGCATTGGAATGGCAAAGACTGATCAATGCAAGCAAGTTAAAAGGGTTCAGGGTGGGTCAAAACATCCAAATGTCAGGTGTACAGTCATAGAATGTGTTAGTACTGATTGACCAAGAAACGGATTATGGAAGACAGCTTGAGAAAAATGTTGAAGGAGTGTGTACATACTTAAGAAAAATCAAATTCCACATTGGACATAATTGGAGTGTGGTGATCTTGAGTTACTGATAATGTAATTATATCTAGAGATCTGGGAGTGCGGAGGTCAAAAGGATGTAACCGAGACACATTTCAAAACTAAGATAATGAAAGGTAACAAAACTACTTTGGCTGGAAACCTGTTGGTTACATGCAGAGATTTTGGCTAGTACCCTGTTCAGTAATTATGATGTTGCAAGCCTAAATTGTAATTATGCTAATTTATGTTTACAGTTATTCCATTACCACAGTGTAGAAAATATTATCCATAACCTACTTTTTGAGGGTTAAGCCCCCCTCAATTCAGGGTGTGAGTGATATGTCCAGTTCTCTTTCTATCAGGTTGCTATGTGCCCTGTTAGTAGGAGAAGACTGGATGTGTCATTGTTCACTGATGTGTTCTCCAGCAACTTGGAGATTCTCCCAGGCCATACCACCACTCAAAATGCCCCAAAGTCTAGCTTTTCATGATGTATACTTATCATATTCAATATTCCTATAATATGTGGCTGAACAGCTTCAAACTCTTCTTTCATTTCTGATCATGTGAACAGCTGAACACCTTTATGGCTTGAGTCCAGTTGAGTCATAAGCCACAGAGCTACTCAAACATTTCCTCTGCCCATCCCAAATAGAAAAAAAGGGTCTGAGATGAAATGTAGCCTGGGCATTCACCAGAAACACTTATATCCTGTTTACAGGCTTTCTAGAGGTATATGGATATGCAAATCCACAACCAGCCTTTGATCATATTCAACATGGCTTTTCTTAACCCGTTGCCCAGAGGTAGGTGTTAAATCCACTACCCAATACAATGGCAAATCTACTCTTCATTTTAGAGCTGCTTATCTTTCAGGTGTTCCAAGTTTTATGGTAGCCTTCTTGAAGCCTGCCATTTCAAGATTCAGCACCAGATGAATTCCTGTATTACTCAGAAAAGCTGCAGGAGAAGCAGTCATTAAATCAAGAATGGATTTGCTGCCCCGTGGCAATGGATGTGCTTGTCAACCAGCACATCCATTGTGCTGGTAGGGCATAGAGGTAGAAGGAAAACAATATAAAGATCCATGTGGAGAGTGGGCCTGGCATTACTGAAGTTATCCCACATGACTTCAATAATGCTAAAGGCCTAGTTCATAAACAACCTGTTAGTGGCTTACACATGCATAAGTACAGCTTTTTGGACAGACTGCAGATGGCTAGTCTCTTGCCCTTATATTCAATCCTAAGTCTTTTCATTAGCCTGGTAGCCATCAAGCCTCAAGAGGGATGCTGGTAATCCTTCTTAATAGAAGAAGGAAAAAGATAGGATTCAGATCATGAAGATCCAACTGCCTTGTGCTCCTTGAAGAAGGAAAAAAGAAGGAATGAGTGGGTGCACTCCATTTGAGTTGCACCTCCATTTCCCCCCACAACTGCTTCTCTATGGTGATAATAATCTAATCACCTTCTCTATTTTTCCTTTCCCATTGGTAAGAGCAGTGAGAGGCTCTCCTGGGTCTTGGCAGTTGTTGAGCAGTGGGAGAACACAAAACTGTGTGTGCAGAACTATGTGCACACAGGGGATCTCTTCTGCAGTTGACACATACATAAATGCTATTTGAAATCCCTAAAATCAATAATGCATCACTGTGTATCTATATGTATATGGATCATATGGATAATTGTGTATGATGTGATGCAACCCTACTACATTTCGATTCTAAGACATGCTTCCCGCTCTCATATAAATATATCTAAAGACAGGATATATCATATATTTGTGGGTGTTTTTATACAGAAATGAAGCTGTTTTTTTCTGTTGGTGGTACTGAAATTAGTCTGTGTCTTACAATCTATGGCATCTTAGAATCAAATAAAGCGATTGTGTTTTCTTGGAGAGGCTGCTCCCCCAAGTGGTGAATGAAGTCTCATTTTAAAAGCATGACATTTCCCCAACTCATTTCAGCCCTTTGATTTTGCAATGCCACATCTCAACTTCTTACTAGAGACAAACTACAGAGCATCCAACTTACTGTCATGCACTCCCCTTGCATGCATACAGTGTGCTGCAAAATACATTGCCAGATGCCTGCAAAATGCCTCTCAACATCATCTATCTTTTCTTTCCAAAACAAAATTTTCCAGATTGGATAAGGAACTGTTTGGCTTGCCCAATGTTCGGAGAAAGTGACATTATGAGGGATGTTGAATAGGATTGTGGGATAGAATGTATGCTTCCTTTCAAACATTTCCTCAAATATGATGCTTTGGATAATAAACAGTCAATACTACATCATTAAAGCCATTTCTAGTTATCAAAAGGAAAGATTATCTGCAGACATCTTCCAATTTTTGCTGTGTATTTTCTCCTTGCCTCTCGTGAATTTAACACCACTGGAATTAGGTGATTTCAAATGAAACTGACTCCTGAATGCCAGAGCCATCTTACTTGGCTATAGAAGGAAATAATGCAGCATGTAGAGAACACAGTCTTACAAAGTAGCCTCTACTTGTTTAGCTTTCAGTAAATGGAATCCTATTTCCTAGATATTTCCTTCCATCACTTTATCTCATGGATTGCACCGTTATAATATGAATAAGAGGCCAAATCCTTCTTCCATTTAACCCCCCTACCATATTCTCAATAATTTGGCAAATAAATCTTTTTCTTCCTTTTTCTCACAAAGAGGCACATGCAGGACATACAAAATACATGTGTAGTAAAACCCTCATATCCACAGGGGATACATTCCAAGACCCCCACATGGATACTTTAAACAATGGATAATAACAAACCCTATGTTTTGAGTATACTTGGGCCAGAAACATATCATAAGATAGCACTATAACGTCTAGAGAGGCCCACAAACACTTCCAGGACAGAGAGAGAATATTCTTTGAAGCATGGACATGTGAAACCATAGATATAGAATAGCCAGAAAATAATTGTCAACATTAAAAAGTGAACAGAGAGGAACAAACAGGCAAAATACTGACTATAGAAGTATGGGATACTTGGAGGACTAATGAAAAATGTATGTTTTTTTTCTTGAAAACTAAGCAAAGATTTCATTTGCATACGTGGCTGTAATATTTCTAAAGCACTTCAGATTAAGATTTTTAAAGCATTTCTGTTAGAGATGGAAATGTGCTCAGATGTTAGTCACTAGCCTAATAGCAATATGTTTTATTGGTTTTTATTATTATTTGTTTTAAGACAGAATGCTTACATTGTTCATTTATTGTTCAATTTATTGCTTATTATTTTTGAGTCATCTAATGGTTACCTTCATGTTGTAAGCCGCCCTGAGTCCCATAGGGAGATGGGGTGGGATATAAATAAAGTTTGATTGACTGATTGATTGATATCATATCTGGTTTATTCTTCATTCATGACTGAATGTGGGAGCATCCTGCTTTAAGTATGACCAAAAACTATAAAAAAATCAGTGATGCTTAGTCATCTTTTAATATTTGCCAATATTGTTTAACTTTCAATTGGTATCACATATAGTTTGGGAATTGAGGATACTGAAGCAAAGCCCAATCCTACAATCTAAGTTTTGATGATGAACTCATCCATACTTGAAATAAAAAAGTGGACCAGACCCCACACCTGCACTACAAAAAGTACCAGATGTGGATATTCCTTATCTGAACAGTGGGAAGAGGTGAATTTTTAATTATTCCATTCATTGTGAACTCATTACCTGTATGTCAATGTATTTTTTTTCCATTTCGGTTCCCCTGGGAAAAGTCGATAGTTTGCTATATCAGGGACACCACACCGAGGCCTCTTTATAACATCCATGGTACTATAGTCCAGTTTCCCAGTGGCACGTAAGCCAAAGAATGCCTGCATTTGTTGAACCTTCTTTGTCATGGAATCACCACTTGTAATTTCTCCAACTAGGTGTCCTCCTTTTGGTGTGTAGTATTTGTCAAGGTATTCCTAAAGGCAGAGACAAATATATCAGGAAGAGAAGATCTGTGCCTCCAAAAGGTAAGATATCATTTTGCAAAAAAACATTTCCTGATTCCCAAAATTTGTTGAATTAAAGAAAGAATCAGAAAGGTTACTTTTTGGTACTACATCTTTTAGAAGCCATAACTATCAGGTCAATTGTTCATGCTGACTGTGACATTATGGGAGCTATAGTTAAGAGGCATTATCTCTGGGCTTATCAATGGCCAGAGGCTACAGATTAATGCTGGTACAACTATACAATATAGTAAGATCTGAAGTAAACCCTCAGTTTGTCTCCATGTTGTTGTTGTTTATTCGTTCAGTAACTTCCGACTCTTCATGACCTCATGGACCACCTCACACCAGAGCTCCCTGTCATCTGTTGCTATGCCTAGCTCCTTCAATGTCAAGCTATACCATTCATCCATCTTGCCTTGACTTGTGGCTCATGTAGGAATGAGAGACTTCCAAGTCACCCTATAAATACTCCTACTCAGATCTTGCAGATTTGGGGCGGTGGCTTCTTTTGTTGTTGTTGTTTCTTCATTCAATCACTTTCGACTCTTTGTGACCTTATGGACCGGGCCACACTAGAGCTCCCTGTTGGCTGTGGCCACCTCCAGCTCCTTCAGAGTCAAGCCAATCACTTCAAGGATACCATCCATCCATCTTGCCCTTGGTCGCCCCCTCATCCTTTTTCCTTCAATTTTACCCAGCCTCATTGTCTTCTCCAAGCTTTCCTGTCTTCTCATGTTGTAGCCAAAGTACTTCATTTTTGCCTCTAACATCCTTCCCTCCAGTGAGCAGTTGGGCTTTATTTCCTGCAGTATGGATTGGTTTGATCTTCTTGCAGTCCAAGGCACTCACAAAATTTTCCTCCAGCACCACAGTTAAAAACATCTATCTTCCTTTTCTCAGCCCTTCTTATGGTCCAGAGTTACAATGTGGATCTTTGCTGCCAGTGTGATGTCTCTACTCTTCGCTATTTTATTGAGATTGGTCATTGCTCTCCTCCTTTTTAGGAGTAAACATCTTCTGATTTCCTGGCTGTGTCTCCATATAAACCTCAAAAATTGAAATTGTTAGTGTTTAATTCACTTCGAGAAGTAAGTATCAAAAGGTAAGTTCAGTTTCCCATCAGTTTCTCTTTACCACAAATATTGGCAGTTATAACCTGATAACAAAACTTCTTGACACGCATCCAAGTTCTTACTATGTCAGGTGGATCAGAGTTCCCAAACACAACTAGGCTGGCTTACAACATTCTGAAACGAGTGCGGTTATACACAATATCATTTAAAGAGCCACATAATTCTCTCACATCCAGTCTAAAATCATCTAATTTCATTGTTCAATATCAGTTTATATTAGAAGATTCCATCTAAACAGTTGTTTAAATAGTTTGAAGGTACCAGAACATTTATCTTGAAATCTAAGAATGGTCAGAACTGGTTAGTTCTTGGAAGCTAGGGCATGCCAGGTGCTGTAGGCTATATTCAGGGGAAGGCACTAGCAAACTACCTCTGAATATTTCTTGTCTAAGAAAGCACTATGAAATCCACGGGGTTGCCATAAGTTGACAGGCAGCTTTACTCATATTATCAGAGTGTTCTTATAAGAGCAACAAAGCATATATTTAAGTAAATACCAATCCCATACATATTTTACAAAGCCAGGAAATTAGTTTTGGTCATGCCAGTTATAGGCTACTAGGAGCTGTAGTTCAAAAAGAAATAACATTTCCTAATTATGTGCTGGAAGCTAAACCTTGCCTAAGTCCCAGGGAGACTTATTGCCAGATAACTGGGATCCCAATCGGATTCATTAATTTGTCATTAGTTCAAACCATCACCTACCTGAGCTGTATAGAAGTCTCTCCAGCTGGATGTTTGTGACAATGCAAAAAGTGCAGGGGCTGCAGCCGAATAGTTCAGAGAAATTAGTAGAAGTAAAGGTGGGCGAAGCAGACCAAAGAGTTCCATTTCTTCCTCAGTGCAAAGGGCGACTTGACAAGAGCAGGCAGGAAGACCCTACATTCCTTTTATAGATGAAAGCTGGTTTGAGAGCCAAGAAACAAAGTGACTCATGTCTCAGAAGGTAATTACACAGCTCTGAGTTTTGATGAAAGGGTAGCACACTGATACTTAGATAGAGGAGAAGCTGGAGTCTTCCTGATGTATCAAAGTTACCAGTGAGGAAAATTCACTGTGTGGTGCCCATAAAATTTTACTTGGTTAGTGGTCCATTTTTTCGTCCCTGTTTTGCTTTTGCACCTCTTGAAAATCAACCTTTGAAGAAACAATGAGATCTTCTGAAACAGCCTAACATGGCCAATAAAGGGAAGGGGCTGCAGTTAAAGGGATACTTGATGGAAATCAAGCAACTACACTGTGAGATTAGTGCCAGGAATCTCTTGTGCTCGTGCATGAGAGTAGACAATTGGTTCATTTCCATTAGTTGTGATAGTCTACTGTCTGTGAATTAGTTATGGTCTAAATCTTATTGTTAGTCATGGTAAAGTAAAACCACATGACAATGTTGATGTTCATTCAGCAGTTAATTTGGTGAATCTTCTCTAGTTGGGACTAAGAACTTCCAATTTTACAACCCACGTGATGGTTGTGAAGAGAATTAAATATTACAGAGTCATTGGATTAGGTCACGATTGATCTGGATAAATGAAACCAGTTGTCATGAGTAGTTTTGAACTTGCAAGACCCAAGCAGGACTGTTATCAATAGGATCTCTTGAATATTTCTTATTCATAGGCTTGCCATAAGTCAAAAAGAGAAGAAGAGGAAGAAGTGAGAGTCATAATTTACTTAGGTCCTTGTTTTCTGCCTAGAAGCAGCAAGTGCCAGGTTAATATGACTTGCCCAGGCTATGGGAAAGATCTGTCCCCAGAATCAGATACTCATCCAGGTCTGAATTTTCAAATTTTGCTTGTGTTATAACAATCTCATTGATTTAGATAGGTTTAGTGAGTGTGGATTCAATGCATTTAAACAAAGTGAAGCTGACAGCAATAATCAACAGCGAGTGGGAAGCTACTGGAATTTTATTGGCAATAGCTATGCATCTATCTATCTATCTATCTATCATCTATCTATCTATCTATCTATCTATCTATCTATCTATCTATCTATCTTATCTCTCTCTATATATAGATAAAAATATTCACCATATTGTCATCCACTGTACTTTTTTGCATTGTTACAAACATCCAGTTGGAGTGACTTCTATACTGTTCAGGTTGGTGATGTTTTGAACTAATTACTATGACAATCTAATGCACCTATCTGGTAATAAGTCCACCTGGGATTTCAACAAAGCTTAGTTTCTAACTCAGAGCTCAGAAATGTTAGTTTTTTGGACCACAGCTTGCGGGAGTCCCCAACGGGGATGGCCAAAACTAACTTCCATTCTTTGTGAATATGTATAGGATTGGGTTATGAAGTTCAGATGCTAAAGGTATTGTACTTTTTCAGTCATGTACTTGTGGTTAAGTCAGTGGGAGGAAAGCTTGTATATACTCATTACATTATTAGCCAAGTGAACTTTCTATGTAAAATGTCTTCATTCCCCATCATGCTGTTCATAACAAGAGAATCAGAGAAAGAGGTGAAGAGGTGCTGCAGATGGCTCACAACCATGGCACACTACAAATACTTGAGCTACAGATGATCTATCTTCATTTAGAGAACCACGTGTGCATGATATTTGACTAAAACATATTTCATGATTACAACAAACACAAAGACCAGCAAGATGAAGAGTTCGCCTAATCCATGGTACCTATGTGTGTGTTCTGGACTGACCTTCCAGTTTATTTGCTTTTGGTTGTTTAATAATATTGAAGTGAAGCCCATGTTGGTTGTAGAAGTGTTTACTCCTTAAGAAATACAAAGATAGTAAAATATTTGGTACTTACACAGAGTAAGTTTACTGTTTACTGTTATGAACAACAATTACGACTTAAGATGCAAGAAGGAAAATCACAGCAGAAGCACCTATTGGCTGGCCCTCAGTGTTGTTGCATTACATAAATGTACTAAATTATATGGTGCTTTTGCATATGAATCAGCATATTTACTATGGAATTATCTAGACAGAAAAAAAGGACCTGGAAATATGGAAACTTCAAAATTCTTTGTTTTGATTTTATCTGCATATTCATCATTTTGCCTCCAAGTTCTACCTTGAAATATCCCAGGTTTCCCTCACTCTCCTCTCCCTTGTTTTCTTCTTTTTCTTCTTTGGGAGGAATGTGGATGGAGCCCGCCTGTGTTGTGTGATGGCGCATGGCAGGCCCCATCCAAGCCATGCATAAAAGTGGCAAAGTGGGGCAAAAATCCCTAGTGTGAAGAAGTCAGTAGTCAAAATGTTAAAGTGCCTTACCAATATTAAACCAGTTAGGACATTTTCCTTTTGTTGCTTACATTCCTCTTTGCTTCACTTGATCTTTGTTAATACCTTGTTCTGAATCTTCTCTAATGATGTTTTTGGTAGGTCTTTGGAAGATCTGCAAGGTCCAAAACAGCTTTAGGGACAATTTCTACTTTCTCTTCAACTCCAAAGTGAAGGGGAAAGCAAACATACAATTGTGTTTGTGACACACAAGTGCTTCAATTGATTCAAAGCAAGGAATATCCATTAACTTCTTCTGGGCTTTGGAAAAAAACCCCAATATCAAGGATGTAAGGAAGGATGGGTTGGAATGGATGAATCTGTCAGTTTCACTGTCTTGCCTTGCTCAGGGTCTTTGTTTTACTGCTCTTGATTTCATTTTATCATGTTAATACAATAGTCAGCAAAAAAATGTTCCTCATATAAATCTATTGTTTTCATAGATACAATTGGCCCTCCCTATCCATGGATTCAGCCAGCCACAGCTTGAAATATTTTCTACACTTGTTCCTTGAATGCCAATCAAAACCATAGCTGCCACCTGAAATCTAATTTCTTTCATTTTTCTTCATAGTAAAGAATATTCTGATCTATGGAATATTCTATCAGAATATTCTGATATATCAGAATATTCTGATATTCTGAACATGGAAACAGTGACAAACTTTGAATTTGTAGGTGCAAAGATTAGTGCAGATGCAGACTGCAGCCAGGGAATCAGAAGATATTTACTTCTTGGGAGGAGAGCAATGACCAATCTCGATTTGAGAATCACTGGACTAGAACTTTTTTAGCAGGGCATTCAGATTACTGCATCAGCCTATATATTCCAGAACGTATACGATGGGCTTAAAGTGGTATAAAACTGCTTTTGCATAGTCCAGATACATTAAGTTGCATTGTTGAATGCTCCCTATCCTCTAAGGTATGGGGTGAACAAAAACAAAGAAGGTGTGTGAAATTCAGCTTGAATTTGAAACCTCCCATATTTAAGTGAAAACCCCTGACAGAGAAATTTCTGCAGTTGTTCCAAGCCAGACATAATTATAGGTGAGAATTTTTTGCTATCTCTTCTTTTTTTTGTCTTCTGTTTACCTGCAAAAATGCTGATCTTCATATCATTATTTTCATTGGCGTCTTACAGGTCATAATGGGGTGACATAGTAGAGAGAATTATCTAATAAAGATAATGCTGCAAAACCAGCATTACTCTCAGATCAGGACTTTGAGTTGGAAAGGTGATGGTTGATTCCTGTTGTGCTCCTTGGCTTTTGGACTCTGGGATTCCTCAGACTTCTATTTTGTCCCCCATGATATGTAATTCTCCCTATATGATGTACTTTACAATTCATTAAATTATTATTATTTTTAATTTTAGTGCAATTGCATAATTCTGGCATTAAAAGCAAGAAATAAGGCAAAGATATATATGAAATAACAGTGAAGCAACCATCTTGGGAATAGAGAGGGGTGCAAGAGGGAGAAGACGTGGTACCATTGGTGGGATTTTTAAGAATAACGGCATGCTTTTCTTTTTATTTGTAAACTGCCTTGAATTCCAGATTAGGGAATTAGCTGTTAAAAACATTAGATTACAGTTGCAGTGATACAATCTCTGCAGCTTTAGCTATTTGTTGTTGTTCGTTCGTTCAGTCGTCTCCGACTCTTCGTGACCTCATGGACCAGCCCACGCCAGAGCTCCCTGTTGGCCGTCACCACCCACAGCTCCTTCAAGGTCAGTCCAGTCACTTCAAGGATGCCATCCATCCATCTTGTCCTTGGTCAGCCCCTCTTCCTTTTGCCTTCCACTTTCACCAGCATAATTGTCTTCTCTAGGCTTTGCTGTCTCCTCATGAGGTATATGCTGTCCAGGTCTCATATGTGTATTATGCTTAAGGAGTGGTGTGGATCTATTGCCTGGATGCCTGCTACTTTTAAACCAGATCAAAACACAGGCCAGATTTCCCTCCTAAGAATCAATGACATTTCTGTGAACTGCCACTCCCAGACACCCGCTTATGAATCAGTAAAGGTCCCTTCACTATGTCAAGCCCAGGAAATAAGATGTGGGTGCTTTCTATGATACAGCCTCCACACCTAATCCAGATATAGTCAGTTGTGACAACCCCTTTTAAATGCAATGAGTTTATCATTGATATTTTTACAAAGTCATAAACTCAAAGTACATGGCCCTAAAGATTCATAGGCAAAATGCATACATTCCTCAAAGATTGTACGCTCTAAAATATGGTGTATGCTAGGATTTGGGACAGATCTGGAGCTCATCTACATGAGCACCTATGTTGTGTTCTCTCCTGGCTGTCCCCGTGACATTTTCCAACTTCCAGTAAGAATGGTGGGTAGCCCTGCTTTCAGAAAAGTCAAGGGATGGTCCAGAGTTTGTCTGCAACTCTGGAGTTGCCTTATGGCTTGAAAGTTGCACATGGAATATGTAAAATTGTCCTTCAGCACCATATTTGTCAATTTCCTTTTGGCATTCTTCATGTAGCCCTCCAACTACTGTTCCTGAACATTAGTTTCCAGCAGTGCTCAGCAGCGTAGCCACTGATGAAGAATGTTTGGAGCTGAAATTTAAGAAAAGCTATACCTTTCCATCTCAAAGTGCAATTGCATAATTTTGGCATTAAAAGCAAGAAATAAGGCAAAGATATATATGAAATAACAGTGAAGCAACCATCTTGGGAATAGAGAGGGGTGCATATGGTGTTACATATATAGTAATCTGATTATTATTTTTTTGTAAAAAAAATCAAAATTATTTCAGATTTTCTCAGTTCTTGTGGGTTTTTTCGGGCTATATGGTCATGTTCTAGAGGCATTTCTCCTGACGTTTCGCCTGCATCTATGGCAAGCATCCTCAGAGGCGAGGTCTTTCAGATTTTCCTCATCTCACTACATAGAAACGACATACAAAAACTTTTCAACACAAGTCAGCTCAGGAAATAGATGCTCATTCATAATGCAGTGCATTAGAATTTCAATCTCATGTGTATAATAATAATAATAATAATAATAATAATAACAACAACCTTTATTTATGCCTCTCCCCATCTCCCTGAGGGGACTCAGAGCAACTTACAACAAGAGTCAATACACAACAGATAAGCACATAGCAAATAACTGAAGTAAACACATCAATTCCATAGAAAATAAATAACAGTAAACAAATTAAGTATAACTCACATATATTACTCATAACTATACAAACCTAAAAATACTGGAGACATATAACATGTTAAAAACATCATAAACTTGCTCTTGTTGGTGTGAGCAGTAAAAACCAATTAAAATGGTCCTGATTGCACTTCCATAATTAAGAAATTAATTACTTTCAAAGGCCTGCTTCTACAGCCACAATTTAGTCCCTTCCTGAAGGCCATTAGTGTGGAAGCCAATCTGATCTCCTTGAGGAGGGAATTTCAAAACTTGGGGGGCCACTACCGAGAAGGCCTTCTCCCTTGTCCCCACCAAATGCACTTGTAACAGAGGTGGGGCGGTGAGAAGGGCCTACCCTGTGGATCTCAGGACTCTAGAAGGTTCATAGTGGAGATGTGATCACACAAATAGGCAGGACCTGAACCGTGAAGGGCTTTGTAAGTAATGACCTGCACTTCAAATTGGACCTGGAAACACACAGGCAGCCAGTGGAACTGTTTTAGCAGGGGAGTAATGTGCCCCCTGTAATTAGCTCCTGTTAAAAGCCTGGCCACTGCTCTTTGTACTAGTTGTAGTTTCAAAGCTGTCTTTAGAGGAAGCCCCACATAGATTGCATTGCCGTAATCCATCTGAGATGTAACCAAGGCATGAACCACCACGGCCAGATTTGGCTTTTAGAGGTATGGGCGTAGCTGTCACACAAGCTTTAATTGTGCAAAGGCCCTCCTGGCCACTGCCAACACCTGGGCTTCCAGGATCAGTGCTAAGTCCAGAAGGACCCCCAAGCTATGGACCTGTAGCCTTAGGGGGAGCATTGCCCCGTCCAGCACAGGTTGCCACCCTATACCCCAATTGGCCACCCTTCCGACTAGGAGGACCTCTGTCTTGTCTGGACTGAGCTTCAGTTTGTAAGTCATCATCCAGCTCATCACAATGGCCAGACACTGGTTCATGACCTGGGCAGCTTCCTTGGAAATGAGTAAAAGTTGTATGTCTTCTGTGTACAGATGACACTGAACTCCAAAACTCTTGATGACCTCGCCCATTGGTTTCATGTAGATGTTGAATGGCATGGGGGACAGAATCGAGCCTTGCAGGACTCCACAAGCCAGCGGTCCGATCAGGCACCCCCCAGCATCACCTTCTGGGTCCAGCCTTCCAGGAACGAGCAGAGCCCTGTAAAGCCATGCCCCCAAGTCCGAGCTTGAAGACTCAACCCGGAAGGATACCGGGTCGATGATATTGAAAGCTTCTGAGTGATCCAGGAGAACCAACAGAGACACAATCACCCTGTTTCGTTCTCTGCAGAGGTCATCCACTAAGATGACCAAAGCTGTCAGATTGCAATGGGTCTAGATAATTGGTTTCCTCCAAGAATCCCTGGAGTTGAGAAGCAACCATCTGTTCCAGAAGCTTGTCCATAAAGGGGAGATGGGAAAAAGACCAATAGTTGTTTAACACCAAGGGGTCCAGGGATGGTTTTTTCAACTACCATTTAAGGAAGATTGGAATTTTCGCCTGTCCCAGCGAGGCCTTGATAATCCTCATGACCTATTTGGTTAATCCCCCTCTGTCTTGTTTAATAAGATAGGAAGGGCAAGGGTCCAGAACACATGTGGTTGCTCTAATTATTCCAAGAATCTTGTCCACGTCATCAAGCTGGACAAAATGAAAAGAATCCATTAAAATATGACAGGCACATTGAATTAAATGGTCCTTGCTTCCAAATAGCCATTTACAGGTTTGCATTCTGCATCTCAAGAAAAGTTGTTATTGCTGTTATAAAAAGATACTGAAAATCTTGGCACTGTTTCTGAGTTTTATCTCAATTAACAAAGTCTTTTTACAAATACTTTTTCCATCCTGTTCCTTCTTATCCATTGTCTAGCTGGCCTTTAATAAAGAAAGATCAGCAATGGGGAAAGAGTGAAGGATGGCCGGGGAAACACCAGTGTGTTTGCACTGGGAATGACTGGAATTCTTCTCTAGGCAATTTTCCTATAGCTGTATGCACCAACCTACAACAGGAAAGGCAAACAGCAGCTGCCTCCAGTATCTCCTACTAAGCACTTAGGTAGTAAAACAAGAAAAGTGATGTGCAAAAAGAGGGAGAAGTGTCTGAAAATTCTAACAGTTAAGCCAGCTGTTGCTTTCCATTGCACGAATCACTCTTTCCTCATTTGGATCAAATTCCCACTGCTTGGAGCCATGGAAAAAATAGAACAGCCCTAGAAATAAAAGAGATTGTATTATTGGCAGCAATAATGGTTTTACTCAAGGATTTTCATTTAAATGAATTTGCGGGAGATTGATAATAAAGCAATTTATAAAGCAGTTTTTTAAAATCTAATCACTCCATTTCAAGCTAGGATCTGTAGCCTGAGAGTAGTTCAGAGTTTATACTGTGTTAATTGAAGGTACAAATGTACCCTACACATTCTTGTGTATAAGTCTAGAAATTTTAGTCAAAATCTCAATCCCCCAAAACTGAGTTGACATATCCAGTTGACAGAGCAATGTAAGTAATGTACTTTGACTTTAATAATAATAAAAAAACCTCCATCAACATATCTGAGTCAAGTGGGGAAAGATGAGATCTTAGTTTGTTCTGGAAGAACAAATTGGGAGGAGGAGGAGAGATTAGTTCTAACCCACTCTGTTCTCCCTGCCGCAGCGCCACGTCTGGCCCCTTTTAATGCCCAGGTAGGAAAATGGTGGTGGCCATGGGTAGCCCCCCCCCCAATCACCCTATTCTTATTCATGGGTCATATAAAAATCTACAGTCAGCTCTCCGCATTCACTGGGGTAAGTGGGCCAAGATCCTTGTGAAATTAAAAATCCATGAATAAAGTAATTGCTATTATTTTAATTTGAGCAAACAGTTCCCTAGGAATTTCTTACAGCACAATTCTGCGTCCACTTCCACTGGAAGTTGGCTGGAGAATCAACTGGAGGACCTAGAGATTGTTAGAGAGGTGTTCTCTAAGCACAACTGGAGGACGTTAACTATAGAGTCACCCGGAGATTCCTAGGCAGAATGTTTCAAATCAAATCCATGAATGAAAAAAGTTAAAACCACAAAAGTGAAGGGACATTGCCCCAACATCTGCCCTCGGCTTATACATTTGGTCAACTTATACAAGAGTGCATACTCTTGTATAAATGTGGTTATTTCCTTGGGTTCATTCTCCCTATCTTGCCATGTTCACTGTGTGATCTGGTTGATATTATATGAAGTACTGATCTTTGAAGCTGTCTCTCATTGTTTGGTGCCACTTTCAGTCACCATGCAGCAATGTTTGAAATATTTTGATTCGATTCTCATTCTATTTTATCAGATTCAACAAGCATGGTGTCACCAAATAGTCTTGCTCTTAATTTATTTGCTTTGGTCAGATGACATCAAAGCCAGGATACATAAGGTAATGTCACTGAAAGGAACTGGTTCTGTTAGCAAAACAAAAATTAAGAGAATTTTTTAAAGCCTGTGTGCATGCCCAAGACATGGTTTACAGGGTTGAGAAACACTCTGGTCCCAGTTTTCTGATTGTATGAATGTCCATAAGGTTTCAGTGTGGTGGAGACCCCTTCTTTGGAGGGTTTCAAACAGAGGTTATATAGCCATCTGTCAGAAGTGTTTTGATTTTGTATTCCTGCATAGCAGAATACAGTTGGACTGGATGGCCCTTGGGGTCTCTTCCAACTCTATGAGTCTATGAAGAGAAGAGGGAACAGCTCTGCTGTACTGCCTCATAGGAGACAAAGCAATTTGGAGCCATTTAGGCTGTTATGAAGGTATGAGAAAACACAAACTGGCTCCATGATCCAAATCTCTGATCTGTGTTGATATGAAGTTTCCATTTACCATTATGTTGAAAAGCTGCATCTACTTGCTGGCCAATTGCAGGAAAGTCATCCTTGATTTTTCGTGGGTATTCCACATCCATAGATTGACGATTTTCATCATACCTAAATAAGGAAGAAATTTCACTATTGCGGAAATGAAATTTCCCCAATTTGAGATCAACATACATTACTAAAGAGTTCAAAAGAACAATGTACCCATGTGTTTTTTTTTCCAAAGTATTACCAGGAGTGGGTTTTCCTATCATGTACATTTTTAGGCGAGTAGTTCTGGCAGCTGAGTGAATGTACCCCTGCAATGGAAGTGAAAGGAAAGAAAACACTGCCCCCCCCCCTACACACACACTATCTTCCATTATAGGCATCAGGTTAAATGAGGACCCATCCAGACAGGTCCAAAATGTGGGACCTGTCTCAGTTTTTATCGGAGGTGTCCAGATGATTATATGGCAGTTTGGACTCATATAATCTAGTTCAAAGCAGATAATATGAATTATCTTCTTTGAAAATATGGATTACTGTATATCGCAGTGTAGAAGGGGCCTCTGTTTCCATGGCTGAGTATAAGGAGCCTCTGGTAACCCTGGTCACCAGACCTGTATTCCAGTGCTCAAGCCATTATACCCATACTGCCTCCATCAGAACATGTATATCACAAAACAATGTTCCAGAGGCCCTGCCTGACTGCCTTCATCATGAGATGAAAGTAACTTTATACTTACAAACTTACATGATGATTACCCATCAGTGAATCACAATATTGTATAACTGAAGAAGAAAAGATAAATGTGATATGCCCAACTGCAATGTGCCATACACAACTGCAGTGTGAAATACACAATGTGCACCTGTGTATAATGGGAAGTGACACTGCATGTACTCCTCCAATCTTCAAATGAATGCAAATGTTTGCTTTGGACAAAAATATCCAGTGACTTCTGTAGAGGAACTTAGGCATGCATTGTGACTATTTCTTTCATCTTATTAATTTAGGTACCACCTTTCTTCTGTCACGTGATTCAGATTGACTGAATTAAACAACTCTTAATACAAAAATTTACAAGAATTAAACTAGAATTATAGTTAAAACACATATTGAAACTAGGTATAAAAGGAGCATCTTTTGCAACAAATTAAAATTGCAAGCCTGGGAGAAGGCCAGATGGACTTTCTGTGGAAGAGATTTCCACAATTTGGAGATGACCACCAAGAAGGCCCTCTCCTTCATCTCCATCAAATTCCCAATAATGGTGGTGGGATTGAGAAAAAGTCTTCCTCACAGATCTTAAAATTCTTTAAACTCAATCAGACTCATATGGGGAATTATGTTCTTTCAAATAGTCTGGAGGACTGAAGCCATGTAAGGATTTAAAGGTAATAACCAGCACTTTGAATACTAACCAGAACTAACTGGATACCAATTCTTACCTCCAATAATTGGTACCAATAAAGAAATAGGTTTTTCCAGTATTTCTGTCAAAAAGGGCAGCATCAATTTTCTTAATGTTTTGTGGGAAGCCAAAATTACCAATAGTTTTGGGATAGCCAGGTTGCACCTGAAAGCCACTAATCATCCAGAAATGGTTATCTGTTGAAATAGGAAAAGAAACAAAAAAGGCCTTATGTTTTCATTTAGCAATCCCCATGTGGATCTTCTTACTGGAAAATAACCTGAAATCAAGTTAAGTTTTTGATCATTGCATCAACATTGCAGGTTTATAGCAGTTTGACATTAAGTGCCATGGCTCAATGCTATGGAATTCTGCAGTTTTGTGAAATATTTACTCTTCTTTATCAGAGAACTTTCGTGTTACTATAAATCCCAGGATATCATAGGATGAGAGCCATGGCAGTTAAAGTAGTGTCAAACTGCTATAACTCTGTTGTGTGGATGGTTTTAGGAAACCTTTAGAGGACTCATCTCAAATATTTTGACCCAGGTAGCCAATGCAACAAGCCATCAGAGAAGAAAGGAAAACTTCTCTCTCTCTCTCTCCCTCTCCCCCCCCCCCCCCCCAGATTAGTCTTTAGCTTTTTTTTGTCAAAGAATGTTGGTGTCGTAACAAAATAAAGCTACCAGGATTCCATAGCATTGAACCATGGCAGTCAAAGTGGTGCCAAAGTGCATTCATTCTACAGGTCAGAGCCAACCTAACTCAGTTCAGGAATGGGGATAATGACAAAATGCAGCCACATGAGGGAGCTGCCCACACATTTAGTACACAAATAGCTAGTGCCTGTTTAGTTGAACAAAAATACACATGAGGAATCAGCCAGTGATCTTTTGCAGATGAATATTTTGTAAAATCTGGTAAAAAGCCAATGTTCCATTACTGATCTTTTTATTGAAAAAATATCTTGGCTATTTTATGATAAACCACAATGGTTTTCTGATACTTCTCAGTGTTTTGATGTAATTCTACTAAATCAGGGGTGGCTCTTCAGATGTTATTGAACTCAAATTTCCATTAGTCCCAGCTGGTATGGTCAGGACCTGTGGTCAAAAACATCTGAGAGGCAATACTATGCATGTCCCACTTCTAAATCTTTGATTCATATAGTATGTCATTACCTTTGAAAAAGAAAACCTGATCATTCATATTTTCATAAGCTGCCTGGATGTTGGATGGTAGAAAAGGCCAAAAGGTGGAAATTAATTCATGATCAACTTCTGAGCGAGAAGGAAACACTCTCCATAGGTGCCTGTAATTAATATGAGATGGTTTGCATTACAAATAAATAATAAATGTTCTTTTTTTTTAAGGGTGCTTGAGAATACAAATATTGATATTACCATACATTAATCTGTGGAAATAGAGGGGCAAACAGTACAGACTGAGATGCTTGAGAACAGAAGTGTTCTGTATTTTGGATTTTTGAATACTTGCATATTGCTATTGTTATTGAACATCACTACCCCAAGGAGCCCCCGGTGGCGCAGTGGGTTAAACCCCTGTGCCGACAGGACTGAAGATCGACAGGTCACAGGTTCGAATCCGGGGAGAGGCGATGCGCTCCCTCTATCAACTCCAGCTCCTCATGCGGGGACATGAGAGAAGCCTCCCACAAGGATGATAAAAACATCAAATCATCCGGGCGTCCTTGCAGACGGCCCATTCTCTCACACCAGAAGGGAAAGAGAAGGGATCACTACCCCATCCCTAATAAAAATGATTTATTGTTAAGAATTTATAGTTTTTCAAGGGCAACATGCCAGAAAGAGATAAAGCGGTTTCCTCTCTTTTGCATAAAGCCTCCTAAGCCCCTCCAACTTTAGATCCTTGCCTCTTGCCTTTATCCTCCTAACCATAAAGTATATTTTATTCCACTTTATTCCTGTAAATTTATTAAATATGTTCTGCTTTATTTCTAAGACAGGAAACATTTATCTCTACCTGATCTATGTCAAGAGGCAACCTATCCAGCTATTGTGTCATGATGGGGACTAGCCCCTAGGTGTGACTCAGAGAGAAAGGAGACTTTGGCCATTTCAATATTATCTTTTTGGCTAGCTTGGGAAAAGACATTGGCATAATCACATCATGTCCATGCTTAGACATCCAAAGACAAAACTACAAAGCTAGGATCAAGCAGCTACCACATTTGTATCTATTCCTTTCTGTATAACTTTTATCCTTTTATATAATACATCTATTTCACAAGTCTGAAATGCATAGTCTGTACTTTTATTCTACCTTATTCTTAAATGTTATAAATATAAGAAACTGTCTAAACTGCCTAACTCAAGCCACTCAGGAATGCATTCTCAGCCTCAGACAATAGCTCCCAGAAACTCAACTCAGTTGAGTAGAATTTCTGAAGTCCCTCCTGGAAAAACCTGTTTGTTTGATTCCAGAAACAGTGGCCTGGAATGTACTTCTTTTGTTGTTTTCCAAAACCTTGTCTTTGTTTAATATAAAACTGGATTAAGCTATATTTCCAGGTTGTACCCTTCCATGGGGGCAGCTCTGCAGTTTCCACTCTAGACCAATTCCGGTATGGATCCTAGCCAGCCTCTTTTCTAGCCAACCAGAGACAGGAGAGGGATAATTCAAACTGGAACAATGGTAAACTGGTTGTATAAAACTGTTTTGCACAACAAATGTTCTCTTATGCTTGTATTTTTAGGGCAGAAGCCTACAGGCATCACTTCTTGGTCAAGAACGCAATAAGACTTCTTTGTAATTTGTCTTTGCCTCCTGGTGAGTTTTTAATCTGGAACTTTGGTTATTAACCTTGGTTAACCATGCTTGCCAGGCAGTTCCCCTCTCATTTTATTGCAGTATGAATCCCACATCACTATCATGAGGTGGGATCGAAGTGTAAACACAAATTGATTTATGTTTCATATATACATGGCATGAAAATAATTTTATGCATAATATTTTCAATACCTTTATGTATAAAAACAAAGTGTGTGTACATTTAACCATTTGAAAGCAAAAATGTTACTACGCCAGCCATCCATGTGGACAACTTTGGATTTTCAAATATTCCAGAATTCCAGAAAAGGCATATATCACTGGGGATACCTGTGGTACAAAATGTGTAGCCCCTGCCAATATAATCACACTGTTTATTATCACCATCACAGATAATAAACAGTAGCATCTGTTTTCTGTTTCACTTTTGTAAAAGAAAAAAAAAGAAAAAACTTCTAGGCCTAAAATCACACTAAAATTGCTTAAAATTTTACAAAATCACAAAAGCCATTTTTGGGGAAAATTATAAAATGTTTTTTAAAAACAACAATCAGAGGTGGCATGAGAGAATATGAGGGTGGTGCTTTGCAGCTTTACTAGACTGAGCCTTAAAAACTTGTCTGGAAGCGGACTTGCGCTTACCTGCCCTTCAAAAAGAGGATTTCTCTTCTCAGTGTAGTGATGGCATCGAATGAAAGCTTAGGATCACAAGCTTCAGGTCGTGTTGGTTTTACTGGGCTCTTTGGAGGATTTAATGATGGTCCTAACACAGGAGGGTTAAGAGAAATCTTCAAGTTGTTTGCTAATAATGGCTAGGATCCATACCTAGGCATTTTTAACAGGTTTGGTCAACATGGGCTTTCATGTTCCTCCTCCCTACCATAGCCCCTTCAGACTCATGCAAATATTCTAGAAGAAATTGAGAAACTTTACTGAATTGAGTGAGCTGTGGTATGCAGAATGAGATAGGGGAGCTCCCCAATTTGGGCCTCCAACTACAGAGCAGTTGATGCCCAGGGGTCTTGGAAAACTCTCATTCATATGGTTGCCATAATTCAAAGCCTACTATTAACAATAAGAACAATATAAGCAATTTACTTTGTCTAAATTGTCTCATTGTGGCTTCCTGGGGCTTCTCTCACTATTGAAACAGAGCTCTTCTATGTGTGAAAACACTGGTCAGAAGTACAACAGAAACTAGGACAGAACGGACATTGGTGAGATCTACTTCCAAATAACCTTGTTTTATAAAAGAGAGGACAATCTGGAGTGTGTGTAATGGTTTATTTTTTATCTTTGTTCTCAATTATTATTTTCTTTACATTTATTTTTGATAATTTGTTTCTACTTACCATAAATGGCCTGAATGCCATCAATATCATCTTGGGAGAGTGGGAAATCCTCAGGGTCAATGGGTTTATAATTTGGGTACATCAGTGCTCTTGGGTCACCAGAGTGTGCAAGGCCAAGTGCGTGACCAATCTCATGAGCAGCAACCAGCCATAAGTTGAATTCTAAATGAGTAAGAGGATAAACAAACAGAACCTTTACATGTGGATTCTGTGGTGTAGAGAGATGCCAGCTTCGTTGAATTTTTTGCACCTTACAGCCTACTACATTGTGCAGTTACAGCAGTGTGAGATCACCTAACTATTCCCCAATATTCCAGTGCTCCATAGGAATATGGTACACATCCTAAATAAGAAATAAATAAATAAAATTATTTCCTTGCATATTCTCAGGGAGGTATTCCACCATTTGAGTCATGTAAACTCATATGGAGTATCCCTTTTCCAAAATGTTTTTGTTTTGTTCTCCCCCACCCATAGATTTTTGTCCACCCCCCAGATCTTGTCTGTATTTTGTCCCCTCTCCCAAATTTTCAAATACCTTTATTTGAATGTATGGATAAAATTAGATATCTTAAAGAGGAGACTCAAGTCTTGATATGTAATTGATTTCTGTATCATATGCACCTTATATACATAACATGAAGCTAATTTTATACACAATATTTGAAAAATAATTTGGTACATGAAATGAGGTTTGAGTACCTTGAGTATACCAAAAAGCAAAGATGCCACTATCCCCGTCACCCATGTGTGCAATTTTGAATTTTGGAATATTTTGGAATTCTGGATAAAAGATGCTAAACCAGTATACAACAATTGAACTCAGACAAAAAATACCCAAAATTGGACAGATTTCCAACCATGTATTAAAAATCATTAATACATCCATTAAAATCATTAATACATCCATTAATACGTGGAAGAAGTATTAATATATAATACTTCTTCCTGCACGCTGACATTCGATTTGCTGTTTTCCCTTCTGTGAATTTCATTAATGTTTAATAATTCCTTGCTCCTCCAGTTGAGACCTTTGCTGGGGGACCTAGAGATTCCTAGACAGAACACTTCTCTCAGAATGTGTAGATCCTTTAGCATGGACCTAGAGATTTCTAGAACAGTGTACTCTCAGGTTAAAAAATAGTAGCTTTTTTGTTTGTGGTTTTTCTACTTTTGCAGGAGTTCTGTGTCCGTAACCTCAGAGGATGAGGAGTGCTGACTGTAGCAACAAATTTAATCTAGAATCCTCAGAATGCCACAACTTTGTTTTGTTCAATAAGACACCTCTGCCTTTCTGTTTTGCTCAACATGATAATGCAGCCTCTTCACTACTGACAATTCTTTAGCGTAAATCCATCTTGCACTGATCTATATTACATGGCATCATTTTTCAACTTACCTATAGTGCTGTAGTGGAGTGGGAACATGGGGGAGTGCAACTCAGAGACCTTTTTCATAGCAGGATTGATGACATCCTCTGCTAGTATGCCAAGGTAATTGGCAGATCTTCTTTGTGCTGACGAGTAAAAGCGGAAGCATGTTTTAAAGTTGTTTGTGACATTTTATCACATCAGAAGAGATAATACTCTAGCAGGAACTACGTACTTTTCTACTTTGGGCCAGCAGTGAAGTTTTTTTGCAGCTTTAATTGTATTAAATTGTATTTCTAATGAGAAGCTAAAGGTTGCATTGCAGCTGCTAAAGAGTTTTTTTTGTTAAAGATCAGTGTCTTTTACAAGTTAAATTTATGACGATGCACCACTGATTTCATTTTCTTAAAATTTATTTTAAAACCTTATATTCTGACCTTGTTTTTATGCACCAGTCAAGTTGACTAATAGAGATTACTTACTTACTTAGGCGATCCCTCGTTATCCGAGTAAGATTGTCCCCCAAGGTTGGTGTACTGGCGATGGGTACAGAGGTGACTGTGGAGCCTTATTCTTGACATGCATGTTCTCCCACAGGGAGGGCATCAGTTTCCCAGTGGAAGGCTCTAACACCCTCCCCAAACCCACAGAAAAGCCTTAAAAAGTAAAAATTACTTACCTGGCCAGCATTTCGCTGCTCCCGGCCCTCTCCTGGCACTTAGAAATGATGCACCGGGAGAATGGGGCAGAAAATCACTCTTGCCCTCCCTTCACCTGGCACATCATTTCTATGTGCCAGGAGAGGGCCGGCAGCAGCGAAATGCTGGCCAGGTAAGTCAATTTTACTTTTTAAGGCTTTTCTGGGGTGGGGGTTGTTAGTGTCTGTGTGCCAGAAGGTCCAGCAGGACATTTGGACACCCTCCCCCCGGAAAGCATGAGATTTCTGGTGTGTGTATGGACTCTAATCCAGGCCCATTGGGGTTTTTAAAAACCTGATTGGGCATGAATTAAATTCCTGTCTGGAACTGTCCCCAGATGATCAAATCAGATAATCCACATTATCTGCTTTGAACAGGATTATGAGTCCACACTGTCATAAAATATATTAAAAGATTATGAAGTGTAAGAAAAACAGTTAATATAAATACAATATTGCATAAAATCTTTCAATGATTATCTCATCAACTGCGCCCTGCTATAGCTGCAACACAGAAAAGGCCTCTCTATCAGTGGTTAAGTTTCAGGCAGGCTGATCTGGGAAAAAGCAGTACTTAAAGTATCTTACTGTCAGGTTTGGATTGCCACCATGAAGATCCTAAGAAATTGGGTGTTATGCTATCTAATGATGTTGTGTGTATGTTAAGCTCTTACACTCAGTGCTTGGCAAAACTACTGGTTTTGGACTGTATTTCCCAGAATCCCCAAAACAACATGAACACTTGCTATGTTGGTTGAGAAATTCTCAAAACTTCAGTCTCAATCTTTTTTTTCTTTTCTGAGCCCTAAGTACAAGAGCTCATCATGAGAGCGTGTGTATGTTTCCAAACTCTGGTACTGTGTCATTACTTACCTGCTAAACTGGCAGTCCAGTTTTCATCCTCATCAAAGTGGACGTTGCCACGGAAGGGATTGTTGGGGGGGAAGGCATGTCCAAGGACTCCCAGAGGCCCATCAAAATGTCGAGGACAGCGGCCATGCACTAAGCAACAGCACAAGCATACCATTACACTATTATAGCAACATAAAGAATATATTTCTTTACATCATAAAGTTGATTAATATTTTGATCCTACCTCTAGTTGCAAACTCAATTGTAATGTCTGCTCTCTCCTTATGAACCCTCCTGAAAGACAGAGGAGTCACTGTGCTCCAAACTTCAAAGGCCTTTTGGATAGCTGTGACCACATCAACTTGTCTCATGTCAGGTGTGTAATTCACAATCCTTAAATTATAAAATGCAAGGGTGGGGCAGAATTTAACATCATTGTCATCAATGTGAATATAAATGGCATGCACCTTAGCTCTAAAAACTGCATGCAAAATTGGAAATCAAAAGTGGACTAGAAAAAGCTGTTTATTGGCAGTGGGTCCACTGGAGGTTTGTGCAGGGCATTGTGGAAGATCAAGCCCAATCCTGCTGTTTACACCTCCAAAACCCAGGGATTACTCAGGCACTTCCTGGGATCTCAGGAGTAAATGCCATGCTCCCTTAACCCACATTAACAACTTGATGCACGGTTTCTGCAGCACATACAGATTTTTAACATTTGAACTTCCTTCAATCCATGAATTTTGGCTCTGTAGACAAGATCTGAGTAAATTGATTATGTCAAGTGAGTAGTGTACTTGATTATGTCAAGTGAGTATGACATTTTCACTCAAAGGTAGATATCTGGCAGAAAGTCCAGACAGAGCTAGTTTGGAAACATCAAAAGAAATAATGATGTTTCAGAAGAAATAATGATGTTATTTCTAGAAGCCATCTCTATGAACACATAGGTGTTGCACCCCAAATTTAAAAATGGTTCCATCTTGGAACTTCTGAGAAGGAACATATAATTTAAATTCAAACTTTCCCTTTTCTCCCAACCAAATGGTTGAAGACCCATGATGCATATGTCTATCTGACTGGCACCTTCTCTCCCTGTGCTATCCAGTGTTCTCATGAACTTAGTTTTAACGCTGAATATTATTTTCAAGTTGTGGATAGTCTTGGATACATACTATGAGTAGAACAAAAATGGATGTTTAAAATATAGTTTAAGATATAATAGCAGGAACGTAGAACATGTGATAGGATAATTTTCTTCCAGGTTAATAATAATAATAATAATAATAATAATAATAATAATAATACTTTATTTGTAACCCACCCTATCTCCCTGAGTGGACTCAGGGTGGTTACCCCAGTGGTGCAATGGGTTAAACCCTTGTGCTGGAAGGACTGCTGACCGAAAGGTTGGCAGTCAAAATCCAGCGAACGAGGTGAGCTCCCGCTGTTAGCCTCCCACAGGATGGTAAATACATCAAACATTCAGGCATTCCCTGGGCAACATCCTTGCAGGTGGCCAATTCTCTCACACCAGATGCGACTTGCAGTTTCTCAAGTCGCTCCTGACATGAAAAAGGGGGATTCAAAGAGGTTGACATTAAAACATTAGTATACAATTAAAAATATACTACTATAAAAACATTAAAACAGAATTAAACACAAACAGCACTAAAATGCACAGTTAAAATGCCTGATATATTCAGTATAATGCCTGATATATTCAGTATAATGCCTGATATATTCAGTAACTATACAATTTTTGAAGAATCCATCTACATCTAAAAGGCTATATGTTCCTTGTGTCTGCCAGGCACAAACAAAAGAGAGCCTCCATTGTTCGAAAACATATATCATATGCCTATTTACTGCAAATAAAATCCAATGTTTCTCTTATTTTCAGTAAATGCTTAATCATTTAGGATTGCCTTAATGTATTTATCATTGAACGTTATTATTAATTACCTGTATGTTAGCTTATTTTTTTTCCATCCAGGAGAAGCCAAGACATACTGTCCAACATCAGGAACTCCGCATCTTGGCTGCTGCATAACTTTCAGTGTGTCATCATCTAACTTTCCAGTTACATTCAGGTTATAAAATCTTTGCATTTGTTGAATTTTGTCCAGAAAGGTATAAGTATCACTTTTCCAGCCCCGTTGCCCTGGTTCATGATCTTGCTCATAGAACTGACTTAGAAATTTCTGTCAGAAATTGAAAATTAAAAAAAAGGATAACAATTTATGGAACATAAAGCATAAATTCTATAAGCACAAGATTGTTGCAGTTACAACTCAACTAAGCAATTTAATATCATGATGCTAAACTTATCCACTGGGGGCCATATGGTAAATGGTTTACAAGAATGATTAGATTTGCTTAATTTTATGGTGATTCCTTTCTTTGTGGAGAGCTACCAATATTCATTCTATCTCTATTTCAGCATTTGAGTATTTTATCCTGCCTTTACAACATTTAAGGTTATAATTTGCTTTCATTCTAACCAATTTCATTCTAATGAATTTATGTTTCATTGGCTTTGGATATTACATGCTTGAAAGCACTGAACACATTTAGCAGGAAGTCAGAGTTGCAATTTCAACAGTGTTGTGCTTATGAAAATAGAAAATCATGCATTTATGGCAGGATGAGAGGGTACCTTTCTCTCATCTTAAAATCTCTCATCTTATTGCAAAAAGTATTCTATGGAGGCTATGGGGGGATAAAAGGACAAATGAGTAGCCAGGTCTTAGAGCAAGTCAAGCCATAACTCGATGATGATGATGATGATGATGATGATGATGATGATGATAGTAATAATAGGATTTATTTATTTATTTGTCACCCATCTCTCTTTATGGCTTGAGGTGAGATACAACATGGTTAAAACATAGTTAAAACACCAAGATAAAACAAAGCACTATTAAATTACATATATCAAATACATACAGGTAAAATGCAACATAGAATTTACCGATAAAATGCAGGTTAAAATTCACAAGTAAAAATGGACTAGAAGCAAAGATTAAATTGAGGATATTGTACTTTGGACATATGAAATGATATGACTCACTGGAAAACATAGCAGGGATTCTGGGATAGTAGGAAAACAAAAAGATTGCACTGCAGGCAGGCCTGTAGCGAGAGGGGTTTTTAGGGGTTCAACCCCCCCCGAAATGTTTCAGATTTTTTTTTAAAAACTGGTTTACTCATGAATTTTAACTGGTTAACCAAATCCCCATGCTAAGTCTATGAGATGCAAAAAATTAAGAGTCCCTCCAGAACTGCAAGCACTATCTCAAGCAAATATTGACAATTTATTCACACTGTCATTACTTGCAGCAATAGCCGATGTAGTGAAGCAACCAAGTTGGGGGAGGGGGGTGTTGAATGCTCTCATTAAAGAGGCCAGACTTGGTGGAGGTGGTTGACAGGGGCGGAGCTGCAGGCTATTGAAGGCTGCTCTGCCCCCTGCTGTGCTCTTTGCTTCAGCGTGAGCTAGGAGGCAGGTTTCAACACCCCCCCCCTGAAATTTTCAAACCCCCCCCCCGAAAATTTCAACCCCTCCCAAAGGGCTACGGACCTGACTGCAGGTGAAATGACACAACCAAGGAAGCCACACTCCTGAGTTTGCACATTCATGACCAAGGCACTTGGAAATCTTTCATTTAAAGGGTCATCATACATTGAAGTCAACTTGACAACAAATAATATAACAACAAGCCTTTTGTGTTTTCCAGGTTATCACCACTGCTTCTTATGAATATAGTTTTTAAAAGGATGCTCCTTAAAATTCTACTCTACTATCTCACCATGGTGTAAAGGTGACAATGAAGCCTTTGTCTTTAAAGAAAGGCACAAGCAGGTTCAATCAAGCTAGAAAAGGTTTGAGGATTCAGGTCGCCCTGCTGTCTTGACCAATGATAAGGGATTCTGGGAGCTAAAGTCCAATACACTTAGGGGAACAGAGTTTTGTGAAACACTGGACTTGTAGTTCAAAGTGCATGATATTCTGTATAGAAGTTCCCAAGAGAGATTAGCAACCTCATGAGACAGGGCTTGGGAAGCACCCTAGGACATTTCCTGCCAGTCCAGTGACAGATGAGCACACTGCCCATCCTATGACATTTCTGGACTTCCAGCACTTCCCTCCCAACATGGGAGCCTGCCTGTGTTTTACTGGCTCCAATGGAGCCAGCACAGATCCTCACTGCTCGGGCAATGCTTCCCATGTGTGATGGGGGAAGCATCACCACAAAGGAGTGACATGCGGGGCAGTGGACTCACCCTGCTGCCCCTCTGTATCTTCAGCAAAGACAGATAAAGCAGGATGCTTCGCCTGGCTCATGTGATAAGGCCAGATTCCTCCCTGCCCCAAGGTGTTTCACAGATTGCAGGGATTGAACTTGCTCTAAATGGAACCAGGGATCTATATATGTAAACCTATCTTCTTTTTCTGAAAAACCTTCCCCTCGTGTCTTGCTGTTTGAAATAGTAGAATTGCACACATATAACATTTGTAAAGTTTAAAGCTTTATGTTAAACCTTGGTATACACTCAATATGTATGGAGGGTGCTCAAGCTTTAAAGCTACCTCACATTGAAAATGTTCTCTCCAGTGGCATTTGCTGCTGCTGCTGTTGTTGTAATTCCACTTTTTCTCTCCACCAAGAGACTCAAAGCGGTATACATTAAAAGCATTTTCATACAATTTAAAATCTACAAATACACAAACATGAAAACAGAATGTAAATATGGGTATTAAAAAATTCATTTCAAATCCCTAAAAACTTATTCAAAACTAAAAACCACAGCACTGACTTGATCTTAAAAACCTTCTTCTTTAGAAGCCTGTCTGAATGAAAAAGTTTTAGCTTGCCATCTGAAGGACAGTAGGGAAGGGGCCATAATGACTTCCCTGGGCAGGGAGTTCCAGAGTCGAGGGGCAGCCACTGAGAAGAAAGCCCTGCTCTCTTGTTCCCACCAAATGAGCTTGAGTTGGAGACCCCAGTGGTGCAGTGGGTTAAACCCCTGTGCCGGCAGGACTGAAGACCGACAGGTCGCAGGTTCGAATCCGGGGAGAGGCAGATGAGCACCCTCTATCAGCTCCAGCTCCTCATGTGGGGACATGAGAGAAGCCTCCCACAAGGATGATAAAAACATCAAAAAAATCATCCGGGCGTTCCCTGGGCAACGTCCTTGCAGACAGTCAATTCTCTCACACCAGAAGCGACTTGCAGCTTCTCAAGTCACTCCTGACACAACAACAACAACAACAAAAGCTTGAGATGGAGGTGGGACTGAGAAAAGGGCCTCTCCCGAAGATCTCAGGGCTTGGGCAGGTTTGTACAAGGGGATGCAGTCACCCATGTAGCCTGGACCTGAATTTCTTTGCAGGCATGAAGATCCAGAAAGGCCCAGCTGTTCTGTTAAATTTCACCAAAATGGAAGTCAAATTGTCAGATTGAAAACTGGAGATCGATCCTGTAACAAGCAACACCTTCTGAATTCCCCTCTTCTCCACAACCATTAAAGGACAACAAACCTCTTCGGTTTTCACTCAAGTAATATTAGATTGAGACTTGGGAAAACTGGCATCCCAAAAGTCAATTGGCAGGTTCATGACAAAGGTAAGCTTCAAACCAGATATATTCTTTAGCAAAGCTTGTGACAAAGTCCTAGTTCCTCCTCAACTCTGAAATTCTTGCCATTTCCTTCTGAGAACTACCAGAACTATTCTTAAGTTTAGTCCTCATCCTCCATTTGAATCAAAATATGTAGCCCTGTCATTAGGTAAACACTGAATTGGAAAGGCATTCAATTGACAGCCTTAAAGTTTCTCACAAGGCATTGTTACCTGTGCAAGGTGTATATCTTGATTGTCACCTCTTTCCTGTGAAAGAATGGGGAGTCCAAAGGAAAATCCAACACACAGCAGGAGAAATGGAAGACTTTTCATCTTAAAGTGGAGCTCCTCTTGTCTAGAGCAAGGAGAGAAGACTTGTGCTCTCCTACCACAGCAATTCTGACTTCTAAGTTTGAGTTTCTTTGTGTTTTGTTTCATAGAGCCAGCTGTGGACTGACTCACAGCTTATCATGCTCTGATTAGCAACAGAAAACATACACCAGGACATGGTGTCACAATGTGAGTAAACTGAAAACCCTGCTTTTGTAATCCTTTGCTGCCTGTAAGTAATTTTGATGTTCAAAATATTATTCTGGCTTAAATTGTTTGCCCTGCTGCTATAGAGGTTTCCCTATTTTTCACTCTGTGCAATGATACTGGTCTTCATACATGTACTTAGAGTGAAAGATATGGAGAAGAATGCATATCACCAGTTCCTGTCAACAACACATTTATTTGAATCAGGTCCTATTGTCCAAAGTCTGGAACTCCGATCTCTTTTCCACTATACAGATCTTATACCACTTTAACTGCCATGGCTGCATCCTTTGAACGCTGGAGTTAACAGCTTTCACATCCCTGTGCTCACTAATGTCAGTGTGTTCACTATTTATGCGATTTCCTCTTTACTTGTTTTACTACACTCATTCTCTTTCTGCATCAGTCTAACTTGCAGCTATTTTCTTCCTTCTTATCGGTATGTCTTGTTCACACCAGTCTTGAGGTTTTCTTGCTGTATACAATTCAGCAGTTTTTAAAGGTCAATCTCTTAGGGTTGACTATTTCTCACCTTGAGTGCCAAAAATCACCATGTCATCATACATTGCAGTTCTCCATTTTTAATAGTTTTGTCTTTAAATATTGGAACCTGTTTCTTTAGCTTTTCAGCTCAAACATCCAGTTGACCATGGTAGTCCACGCTTTGGTTACATCCTGTATAGACTACTGCAGCACACTCTACTGGGGTTGCCTTTGAAGACTGCCCAGAAGCTTCAAATGGTCTAGCGGATGGCAGCCAGATTACTAACAGGAGCGGCGCTCAGAGAGCATACAACTCCTCTATTGCACCAGCTCCACTGGCTGCCAGTCTGCTACCAGGCACAATTCAAAGTGCTGGCTTTAGCCTATAAAGCCCTAAATGGTTCTGGCACAACTTACCTGTCTGAATGCATCTTCCTTTATGAATCTGCTAGGACTTTAAGATCATCCGGGGTGTCCCTGCTCTCGATCCCGCCTGAGTCACAAATACATTTGACGGGGATGAGAGGCAGGGCCTTCTCAGTGGTGGCCCCTCGGCTATGGAACATTCTTCCTAGGGACATTAGATTGGCCCCCTCCCTCTTAACATTCTGGAAAAGAGTCCAGACCTGGCTGTTCGAGCAAGTGTTTGAAAATGCAATGTAAAAGACATAGGAACTTGGAACGACTGGACAACGAGATGGATAATGTTTTTAATTAGGAGACACAAATGGCTAATGTTTTTATTACTCTTGTTATGGTTTTATACTATGTATTAATGTATTAAATGTTTTATGATGTTCTTGGGCATCGAATCATTTCCTCTGTAAACTGCCCTGAGTTGCATGAGGGCTGAGAAGGCAGTATACAACTATAGTAAATAAATAGTAAATAAATAAATATTTATGACATAATTTTGGAGTCCAGGTTTCAATTTTCTGCTCAGCCATGAAAGTCCACAGGGTAACACTGATGATTCATGCACTCTCAGCCCCAGAAATCCCCAAAATAGGTTCACCTTTTGATCATCATAATTTGGAAATGGCTTGAAGACACAGAACAACAGATTACTTTCTACTTCTAATTGGGTGTGTGTGTGTGTGTGTATTCTTACTCTCTTTTAGTGCAATTTTCCACTTTAAAGCAAAAATCTTAAGCATGTTTCTCCAATGGCAGTTTTTGTGATACCATTATCTAAAATGTATATCATAAGGAAAATCACAAACAAAAGTTTACATGTTAGTAAAAATAATATACAGGAATGCAAGATGGATAAGCAACTGGAACTTTAAAAAAAACTATTTTAAAAACAAAAAGACAGTATTGCCTCAGGATGACGAAAACCCGAGAGAAAATATATTTAGCAAAGAGGCTAACTTGCAGATGATATTGATAAATCTAGTCTCTGTCCTTCCCACTCATAGTCTGAGTGTTTCCTTTCACCTCCCCCTGCCAGGACATCTGGGGTTTCAAGAGTACAGGGCAAAACACCATCTTGTTGACATCTTGATAGGATGTATGTCATTTTTGTGGCGTATTTCGCAAAACTTTGAGGATGAAATCACAGTAACTTGTGGTTAATCGTAAAATATGAAGAAATCAGTATCAGCTGCTGCTGGGAAAGATCATTTGGAGGATATCATTGATCTCTGATTCTATTTGTGGACTTTTGAGAGGGATATTGGTTTGGTAGTAGGATACTAGAGACAAAGTTGAAGTACTTTGACCACATCATGAGGAGACAGCAAAGCTTAGAGAAGACAATTATGCTGGGGAAAGTGGAAGGTAAAAGGAAGAGGAACTGACCAAGGGCAAGATGGATGGATGGCATCCTTGAAGTGACTGGATTGACCTTGTAGGAGCTGGGGGTGGTGACGGCCGACAGGGAGCTCTGGCGTGGGTTGGTCCATGAGGTCACGAAGAGTCAGAGACAATTGAACGAATGAACAACAACAACAACAAGTTATTGGGCAAGGAATGATAGGCTAACTGAACCATTGAGGTTCCAATGGTGGGGAACCTAAAACTGAGCCTTTGGGGTTCTATAGTTTCAGGAATCTCAAAGGTCCCAATTCCTTGCAATACCTTCTTTTATTTGTTCCTCAGCTTTTATATTCTTTCCCACAAGCTAAAAGATTCCAGTGGCTTTTCGAGTAGTTAATTACTTGCAATAAAGGTTTTCAGTTAAAAATACTTCTATTTTTTAATCCCACTTCCCTCTTCCCTTGGCCGTGACTGCCACCGGAATGTGGCCCTTGAAACATTCACAACCTAAAAGACATACTCCATTGTTGGAGTGACCCAAAATGTCTCTTCTGACATGCAGAATAACTCCTTTATCCATGGACTCACTAGTAATGGTTTCACTTATCCAAGTTCCAAAAAGTATCCCCCCCCCCAATGTTTGTGGGAATCTCTAGGCCTTCTTGTGTTGTTCCATGGTATGTTTCTGGCCCAAGAACAGTCAAAATACCAGGTTTACTTTTATCCAAGATTCCATGATATGTATCCTCCGTGTATATGGGAGTCATACTCTATTTCAATCATTCTGTTTTTCATCCTTATTCATCCCTGGCCTCTTTCGCTTAGAACTTCAGAGTGTCCCTGAACTTTGTCAAAACTGGGATAAATATTAAAAAAAAACACCCACATAATATTCACTGGAAGGAGCTGAACATTGTGCAGACAGCACTTGGGTTTTGGGGCTCAGGTAGACAAGCCCCAAGTCTTCTTTGTAAAACATTTTTTACAATCCAAAAATTCTTCTGCCCATAAATTTAAAATATTTTTTAAAAAGTCCAAAGAACCAACTTTTTTTTATATAAGGGATATCATTTTATAATGCCACTAATTATGGTGGGTCTTGAGCATCCATAGATTCTGATATCCATGGAAGGTCCTGGAACCAGACCCTAACCAACTATAGTTACAAATGGTCAAATAGGAGAGGAAAGAACTGTCTGTTACGGACTAGGACTGGAATGTGGAAAGCAACCTATGTAAAAAATGGATTGAAATACACCTGAAAATAATATAAAAGGGGCTTTTCAAATGCTCAATACCAGCGTGGCATCTGAACCCATTGTTTCTACAAAGGAACTGATCAACTCTTTGGAAGGAGCCTGTTGTGAGTATGAGGATGATTGAATGAGAGAATTAATGCTTCCTCTGTACTGAGTCACTGTATGATTTTTAAATGCTTAATAAAAGTTACATGCAAAGTGTTTAAACCCAGATCTGGTATCTTTGAGTATTCTTTCAGGCCTATAGTCTTGAGTGACAGCTATTCGGTTTTTCACTCTTCTCTGGATAAGAACAAGTTGCATTCGGTTACAATTATAGCTCAAACACTCAAAACCTATTATAATGTAATAATTATAATATGATTCAAGAATGGTTCTAAATAAAGATATCTGTGCAACAGATCTGGGAATGTGACAAAAATACTTTGTTTAAAAACCTGCCACAGATATGATTGCTAAATTGCTATACTTTCTTCTAGAAATAAAGTTCACTGGCTGTAGGGTTAGGGTAAATATTTCTTGTTTACAACTCATGAATTTCTCAATCCCATGAACCTGGCTTGCAAAAATGTGATTGACTAATGCAACATGCACATGCTCTAACAACTGGAAAACATTCTTTATTATCTAAGTTCATCAGTTTTTCAACAGGAGACATGCTAAATTCAATGTAAGGTATTTGGGGAAATTAATTAAAATAATAATCATGGAGTCATAGAGTTGGAATAGACCACAAGGGCCATCCTGTTCAATTTCTGCTATGCTAAAGCATTCTCATCCAGCCTTTACTTAAAAACCTCCAGAGAAGGAGACCCCACTATCCTCTAAGGCAGCATGATCCAGTGTTTCAACGGCTCTTACCATCAGGAAGTTACTCCTAATATTTAGGTAGAATCTTTTCCCTTTAGTTTGAATCCATTTCTCCATGTCAAGTCTCTATTTATTTATTTATTGTATCAGGAGCGAACCAAGGGTACATTTATATTGTATTTTTTTTATAAAAGAACACAAAGTTTGAAAACATGGCATTGTATTAAATGTTCTTTGACAAGTAGCTGGCCACTTGGAGTGCCTCTGGGGTCGCTGTGTGAAGGTCCTCCATTGTGCATGTGGCAGGGCTCAGACTAAATTGTAATAGGTGGTCTGTGGTTTGCTTTTCCCCACATTTGCACCAGCAGAAAACAAACCTATTCCATTTTCAATATGACATCCTTTCAGATATTTAAACTTGGCTATCTGATCCTCTCTCTAGGCTAAATATGACCAGTTCCCTAAACCATTCCTCAAAACCATATTTTCTAGACCTTTCACCATTTTGGTTTCCCTCCTCCAGATATGTTCCACCTTGTCAAGTCACAAAGAAAAAGATCTAGCCCAAGCCCTATTCAAGGGTTACCCATGGCACATTGTTTTCCTTGTACACTTGAAGAGTAGTCACGTGTAGACATGAGCAAGTTCTCTGATTGTCCAGATTTCTTGCTCACATTGGGACACTCCATACTAGAGCTATTGCTTTCCTTGTGAGCAAGCTTCTAATACAGGAAGTGGTTGGAGCTAATGTACTCATCTGCTCCAGTTTTCAAGAAAATATGGTACAAGCTGAGTATCCCTCCTCTGAAATACCAAAAGTGTTTTGAATTTCATTTTTTTTTGTATTTGGATATACTGGCATGTACATAATGAATATCTTGGAGATGGGGCCCAAATCAAATCACAAATTTGATGTATATTTCATATAGCCTTTATACACATAGCCTGAAGGTAATTTTATAAATAATATTTTTTAATAACTTTGTGCATGAAACAACATTTGAGTACACTGAACCAGCAGAATGAAAAGGTGTCAGAATGCAAATTGTGTGGACAATTCCAGATCTTGGAGTGTTTGAGATTTGGAATTCTGGATAAGAGATGCTCAATCTATAAATTCTGACCAAGGCTCACAAATCTTACATAACCTCCACGATATTGGGGTTACATTATGTGCATTCCTGTGTCAAGGTTTACCCTTACATATATTCAGGGAAATAGTTGAAGAGGGCTTTAACTATTCAAGTAAACACAAAAGTCACTATGTTGACATGTGGTTCAAGATGAAGTTCATTCTTCACACTGATATTTAGCCTTTGATGGACATTGCAAAAGCATTTGCCCCAACATGGAGAATGTCACAATTGCTGCTTGTAAATAAGAGAGGGTTAGACAACAGGACTAGCATACCTTGCATCATTGCCTTCCTGCTGCAATTCTAAGGAAGTGTAGGAAACCACAGTTTGTATTGCCAATTTTTTTTCCTTTCTGATCTTCCCCGCAGTTCATCTCCCCCTGGTTCCAGTTCTTTTAAAAGTCTCTGTCTGCAAGTTCATTTTCCAAAACAATAAATCAGGCCAGCAGAGAGATTCATGGTTTGGGGAAAAGGCATTGTAGAAAAGAAAGCACAGGAAGGGAAAAGCCTTTCTCGAAGCAACTGGCAAATCCTCTTCTAAAATAGTTGATTGGAACTTAATATGACTAATTTAGCTGTAGTTTCTGTCCTCTGTTATCAGAACCTCTTGTCCTCTGAAAAGCAATGGGTCCTTGTAGGTTGCAAAGGGATGTTTTCATATTTGCCCCCAACCTCTTATGACACTTCTGAAAAAAATGATCAAAGGAGGATACTGATTTGAATAAAATGTGTGCATGTATAGATACAAATATACACACCATAACTATAATTTAAAGTTGGGTCAGGAATTGTGAAGCTTGGGAGTTACATTACAACTCCCAAGAGCACTATGCAGCTTCGCTAATGTTGAGGAGTGCTGGAAATCGCAGTTCAACATTTGGAGAGCCACACTGCTCTCTTCTCTGCCTTTCATTTGAGGAAAGAAGAGGACTGTGCAATCTGCCAGATGGTGGAGGCCAAAGCTGTAGTCAATATATCCAAGGGTGAGGAATTCTGGGAATTATAGCCCAATAACATCTGGAAAGCTGCACAATTCACACCTTTCATTTAAACAGAAATATTATACCTGAACATATAGAATTACAGGCTGGGAATGGTGATCTTTGTGTCCAGCTGCTTAGTTCAATGCTCAAACCACTGCATCATATTTACTGATTTATTTCCTACATGTCAAGCCATTTCCAACCTGTGGTGACTCTATCATGAAAATAGTGTGGGGGTTTCTTGGCCATATATGTTCAGAATGGATTTACCTTTGCCTTCCTCTGAGGCTGAAAGTATGTGACTTGTAACCTGCTGGCTCTGATTTGTAACTGTATCCATTTTTATATCTGTCTATCTTTAGTTTGTCTGAAATGCAGAGCAAGCTGCCCTTTGCATGTACAATGTTTTATTAATTAAAAGAAAAAAGATACTGCAGTGAGCAGAAGCAGGTGTTGGTGTCCAACACATGCACGTCTACCTGCTATTGCCAGGTTTATTTGATAATTTGCTACCTTACTTTCTATATTGTCTGAACCTCAACTGCATCACCTATTCATATCCAAGTAAAGTAATTTGGTTCATTTGGTGATCATGATTTTGTTAGTGTCATAATCTGAAAGTATGTGTTAGGCAAACATTGGGCTATGACTCCATTTGGAGACCTTGGGCAAGTCACACCTTTTTAGCCTCAGAAAATCTTTCGATAAGTTCACCTTAAGGTTGCCATAAGTCAGAAATAACTTGAGCCACACAACAACAACAATCTTGAGTGTAGAGATAACTATTTGGCTTAATGTATTGGTTTCCAACAATGGGATCTATGAAGATGTTTGACTATAGCTCCCAGAATCCTTGAACATTGGCCATAATGACTGGAGAGTTTCAGATTTCAAATCTGGTAACATCTCAGGACCTGCTGTTGGAAACCATTAGCTTAATTTTTGTAAGGGGTTGCCATAATTTAGGTGTGTGATCATTTTACAATGTGAGGGGCCTGTTCTGAAATGATGATACAAGACAACATAATATTGTGGAATATTGTGTCCAATTCTGGGCAACACAATTCAAGAGAGATATTGACAAGCTGGAATGTGTCCAGAGGAGGGCGACTAAAATGATCAAGGGTCTGGAGAACAAGCCCTATGAGGAGCGGCTTAAGAAGCTGGGCATGTTTAGCCTGAAGAAGAGAAGGCTGAGAGGAGACATGATAGCCATGTATAAATATGTGAGAGGAAGCCACAGGGAGGAGGGAGCAAGCTTGTTTTCTGCTTCCATGGAGACTAGGACGCAAAACAATGGCTTCAAACTACAAGAGAGGAGATTCCATCTGAACATGAGGAAGAACTTCCTGACTTTGAGAGCCGTTCAGCAGTGGAACTCTCTGCCCCGGAGTGTGGTGGAGGCTCCTTCTTTGGAAGCTTTTAAACAGAGGCTGGATGGCCATCTGTCAGGGGTGATTTGAATGCAATATTCCTGCTTCTTGGCAGGGGGTTGGACTGGATGGCCCATGAGGTCTCTTCCAACTCTTTGATTCTATGATTCTATGATTCTATAAAATAGTATTTATTTCACCAATGAATAGTGGCATCAAGTCCTTGCAAACCAAGACTGAATGGGGACAACTTCTAGAATGTGACATTTATAGGCAAAATAGAGATCTCGCTATGTAAAAACCAAGGCTTTTGCACAAAATTATTTTTAAATCGCTATGTTTATTAGTTTCTTTCAGCACTATGTTCTCTAAAGGCAGTAATTTCCCCATACATAATTTATATTACTATGTACACCAATGGAATTAGCTTCCCAATAAACAACAATCAAAATAATAAATGTAAAAGGTTAAAATGGACTTCCCACATCCCACTTCAATGATACACAATGAATTTATTAGTCTTCATTTTAACTTGCTATCTCAGAATTTTGCTTCATCTTCAAAACCCACAAGTGTTGTTACATTTTCTTTTCTTTATAAATGATATAAATTATTTCCATTTTTTTTAGAAATTCATCAGTTGACTTTGCCTTTATTGAACTAGACAAGTCATCCATTTCTGCCAATTCCAGAACTTTTATAATCCAGTTTTCATTGGGAGTTGTTCTTTAGTTTTCCATTTCTGTCTTGCTGCAATAATCATAATATGTAATAATTTGAAATTCATGCATAAATTACTTCTAAAATCTGCTAAAAATCAGATAGTAGTTGTCTTCTTTCTCAATATGCAACTAAAATAAAATAAAATGTTTGCCATGTCTCTTTACAATTATCCAGTTATACAATTACAAGGAAATAATGATAAGAAATAAGAGAGATGAGTGTTGATGTACGAACTCTGACTACAAATGATGCAAGTATCAACTTCACTTTTTCATAGGTACTTATGAAATGGTTATGAAATGTAATATTGCAATGTTTGCATGTAGTCAGTAATTGATCTTACTGCAATGGACAACCACACTGTTGTACAAAGTGTTCTTAGGAGTTAATGCCAAAAGAAACACACACAACCGTCCCACAAAAATACTTTATTGAAGAGGCAGAATCAAACCCGTTGCAACATATAAACAGAATAAAGTGCACTGGAGCTAGTTTGTTGGGATCACAAAATAAAGTCATTGCTGAATTTTAATAATGGTTGTCTTTGCATTGGGTTAGATTACCAGGTAGCAACAAGAGTAGCGGTCGCTACTTGGGAATCAAACCCAATGCAAAGACAACCATATATTAGAAAAGGATGAATTTTCTACAGGGTTATTCCATGTGATGCTATCCATGGTGCTGGACCTGTTTTGGAGAGAATTTCTAGCACCTTGGATATCTGAATTAAAATTTAGTGCTATTCGGAAAGGAAGCCAACAGTTATTAATAGATAGCATTGATAGCATGCTTAACAATTCAGCCAGCTATTACTTCTTTGAACAGACTGAACCCTTTGGCTGTTAAGGTTGTATTGGAGCACGTTTGTCCCCTGGAAGAAGTAGATATATCCTAAAAACAAAGAAGTAAATTAGTATGATTGGTATTGATGTTTTATTTAAAGAGCCACCCCATAACATAAAATGCCTGGGTGGCTCCCAAAACAAATACACCATTAAAATATGAGATAACAAAAACAATTAAAATACAATTCGCCGTTAGTTTAAAACTAAGATATCTAGAATGCATTGTTTTCAAAACTTGCGTGTGGTAATAAAAAGACCATCATGATTCTATTAGGGTATCTTTTCTTGGAATGTTGTTTTGTAATTGGAGTATCACTTCTGAAATATCCCCCTCTCTAAAGATACAGGTTTTACTTCAATTTATGGGATCATGAGAACATTTTATAATTCTGAGGCCCTTAAAGTTCCAGTTGGTGTGTATTAGTTTGATTCACCTAAACCCAGGATTTGAAATGAACCCAGAAAGTGGACTGAAAGCCAATGGAATTGACAGCACATAAGGGAAGTATGGACATATATTTTTGCATCCCAGACCTGAATCAAGAGCGTTTTTCAAAGCCTGCTAAAAGGCAGCTCCGTGAAGCAACTGCTACAAAGATCTAAGTGGGAGGTGATCAGAAATTGATGGAGGTTACAAGAGTACAATTGAGGCCAAGTTTTCTTCATCTGGGTAAGGATGTCCGGTTGGCAAATGCTACCACTTAAGAAATCTATTTCATCCATAATAAAACAAAGCTTCCTATATGCAATTTAGAATATCATGGTGAAATAGTTTTGATCTAGCAAAAACAGCTTAAAAATGTAAGAACTCCTTCCACAACTGTGCTTTAATTTCAAACTGTCCTCTAAATTCAAATTAAGACAATGGTTAGCAGCCAGTTAGGTGCTCAACTAGGACTCTGGAATACCAATATTCAGCTTCTTACTTCGCAGTGGTAACCTACTGAGCAATCTTCTGCAAGTCACAGGCACTCAAACTCAAAAGAAGGCAGTAGAAACCTTCTCCAGACATAGGAAGCCAGCATGGTGTAGTGACTGAAAAGTTCTGGAGATCAGGTTTCAAATCCTTGCTTGGTCATGTAAACTTTGAGTAAATCATACTCTCTTAACTTCAGAGAAAGGTAAGCCACCTTTGAAGAAATTTTACCAGGAAATATCTGTGATAGGTTTGCCTTAGGTGTCACTGTACATGACTTGAAGGCTGACAACAGCAATGACTCTGAAAATATCTGGCCAAGAAAATCTGTGATGTTAACTATAAATCAGGTATGCAATGACAAAAGGAGTCAGTAGTTATATCCCACTCTTGACTTGTCTCATATAGTCACCAATCCAATTTCACTTCAAATTAGAATTCAGTTCTTTGTGTGAGTCAGCTCACAAAGAGTGCAGAGGTGGGGGGTTCAATTAAAAAAACTACTTATGTACTCATTAGTTACCCTGTTTTTTCCCCAATGGGCACTGAATTGTAGCCTTGGAGAGACTTTAAAACAGTCCCTCTAGATTCGTCCTCCTGCATTACTATGTCCCTTAAGCTCTCCTATGCTCCTCTAATTAGAAATATGCATATTAATAACATGTACAATTTCTAAGAACATTGTTTTATGCCATGCTGAATGCCCAACATATAATTCTCTAGTGAAAGCATTTGCATCTTTTTTTCCTGGATAAATTTACTAATAATATTCTATTTTTTTCCTGGATAAATTTACTAATAATATTCTAATAAAAAAACAACAACAATTACTTACCATCATGCTGTAAAGCAGCATCGATTTTGGGGCCGACTCCTCTAAAATGTTGTGCTGTATATTTCGGATAGCCATTTTCCATGGTCTGTCTGATTTCATCATATCTGAAGAAAAGTAAAAAAAAAAGTTACCTGAAGATATATATGTATATAGTTCAGTGTAAGTTAGGTTTCTTCAGATCCTGGAAAATATCTTATTTGCATGACAATCGTCGTCCATCATGATTGGATTACACACAGTGTATTGTAGTGAAAGCAGGTGAAGACTAGTCACAAATGTTGTCATCCTAAATCAGAACATAATTTTCACAAGCTTTGATGATATTTGACATTCAGGAGAAGTTTTTAATCCAACTAGTTAAAGCTATGCTATAGTTCCATTATTATAAAAAGATTGTCAAATTGATTACTACTTGAAAAAGCAAACCAAATGGAATTCTACATGGAATAAAATGAATATTTAAACCATAGTTAATTTGCAACTAAATTATGAACCCTGTACCCGTAAAGGATATGTTCCAAGAGTCTCCCATAGATACCCCTTGGATAACAGTGAAGCATATATTTTGACAGTACTTGGGCTGGAAGTACCTAGGATCTGGAGCAATGTTTCTCAACCTGTGGGTCCCCAGATCTTTTGGCCGTCAACTCCCAAAATCCTAATAGCTGAATAAACTGCTGAAATTTCTGGGAGTTGTAGGCCAGAACACCTGGGGACTCACAAACACTTCTGGAGGCAATATTTTTGGCAATGTGGGTCAGTGAAACTATTGACACTGAGTTCATGAATGAAGGAGTTATACTGTATTTACCAATTAGAAATTAATCACATTTCATTCCTTTGTTCAATACGAAATAAAAATAATAAGTTATCTTGCAACTTAATGAAAACTAACTGTACTCCTTTTGTGATGTAGTTGCTTCTTAGTTATGTCTATAGTTATGAGGGTGTCACCTCACTAAATAGAGGAAAAATATCACATGGTATAGGTATTGTCTTTGGCTGTTGTCTCATCTTCTGTTGTTAGAGTTCTTTGTAGGCAACCATGAGGAGTGTGGGAAGACAATGTCTAGAATCCTGGTGATGATATATGGTGGCACTGACACCATGTGAATGATTTTTGACACTGTGGAGGGCAGTATCCTGTATGTCCATGCTCCAAACCCTGAGAACAATAACTGCTTGGGTGGTACCAGGTGCAACTCTGTCTTCTTGCTCACCAGTCTGCTGTGGGAGTTACCTGTGTGCATCCTGGTTGCCTTTGTGCATTGGGGAACAACAGTGCAGCCATACATTGAGATCAAGCAGGCAAGTTTTATGAGAAACAGCTGAGGGAGCTGGGTAAGTTTAGCTTGCAGGAGAGAAAGTTGAGAGCGGATTGCAGGAAAAGAGATTTCATTTAAATAGTAGGAAGAACTTCCAGATGGCAATTGCTGTTTGACAGAGGATATGATACCCAGTTTTTCTCTAAAGACAGTATCTCAGGTGGTTTTTAAGTATGATGGGTGAGTAAATATTTATGATATTCTCCTGGTTTTTTTTTAAATGCACACAAATATAAAAGGAAAGGTAGTTACTTTAACACTGTACTGCAATTGTTAGCTAATGACTTTAAATGGCTTGGGAATGACCAAAGTAGCAAATAACTTCTAAAACACTCATTTCTAAGCTCTGGAATGGTGATACAAGAGGATCGTGATAAAAGGGTAAAAGCTCCCAATGGCTAAATGCAATGGACACATGGCAAGTATCTGTTTGTCTGCCTATTGAATTCATATAGATCATTTTCTCCCAATTGGGGACTCAAATGATGTCCAAAGAAATAGCTGTAATATTTTAAGAAATTTCGAATATATGCCTCTGACAAAAAGTCAGTTGTTCTCTCCTGAAGGTAAAGTAACTAACAAAATTATGGACTAAACTGCAGAACATTCTGCCATACCTCCAATACTGTTTACCAGCAAAGAAATATGTTTTCCCTGATTCTGGATCACTGAATGCAGCATCAATTTTCTTCACAGTTTTGGGGAAGCCCAGACGGTAGATTCTTTTGGGGTATCCAGCTTGGATGTCATATCCATTTAGAACCCAGTATTGGTTTCCTGTGGAGAAAGTAAATGAAAATAAAAATCGATTTAAAGTCTTTTGACATACTTTTTTGTTACAGTGTTTTCAATTGCATGTATCTTGCAAAGTTATTCATCTCAAAGAGAGGCAGGACAACGTAGATATTGCTACTATATGTGTGCCATTTTTTGAAGTACTAGCCAAATTGCTTATTGCTTGTTCTGTTGCATAAAGTAGTTCCAGGGATTTGAGGAAGAAATGGAAATGAGAAGTTTCACTCACCTCTAAAAAGAACCAGCTGGTCTTTTTTATAATTTTCATAGGCAGCATCAATACGAGTCGGCAGACTTGGCCAGAAGAGGGCAATGAAAAATAGTTCTACGTCCAGCTGAGGGTGTTTACGCCAGAAATGCCTAATTTTAAAATGTAAGGGCCATGTCAGAAGATTTAGCATATTTTGTAAATATTAGGCAAGGGAAATAGCATGTGATCTCAAGAGGAAAGATTGATTTAATGACAGATGTCCAGTTTTTCATCAGAAAGGTACAGAAAGGACACCATATTCATTGATTATGTCAATCTGTTTCTGACATCTTCAGGTAGATCTTGGAAACACATTTCCTCACCCTGAAGAACTGTTGATAGTAATTAGAGATCAATCTTCCAGAGGAGATGAACTACAGCGCCCCTCATTCACAACCACTGCGGACATTGATAGTGGTGGTGGGGTGGTTTGTTGTTGTTGTTGTTGTTTATTTGTTCAGTTGCTTCCAACTCTTTGTGACCAACCCACGCCAGAGCTCCCTGTCAGCCGTCACCACCCCAAGCACCTTCAAGGCCAAGCCAGTCACTTCAAGGATACCATCCATCTTGCCCTTGGTCAGCCCCTCTTCCTTTTTCCTTCCATTTTTCCCAGCATAATTGTCTTCTCTAAGCTATCCTGTCTTCTCATGATGTGGCCAAAGTATTTCATCTTTGCCTCTAATATCCTTCCCTCCAATGAGCAGTCGGGCTTTATTTCCTGAAGTATGGACTGGTGGGGTGGTGATTTGAGCAAAAACATTACCTCATTTGGAAGCTTAAAAATCATATTTAAAACAATGAAAATTACTGGTTTTTTTCCCTCCACTCCAAAGTTACGTTTCCCAGAAGATCCCTTTAATGAGTAGGAATTCCAAATTTCCAAAATGCTAGCTGTAGCAATGAGATGCAGCTGCTCATTCTCTTTTGAGGCTGTCAATAGACCTCTGAGCCCTGGAGCATGCCTACCCAAGTTTCCATGTGATAAACAATGGAAAATTGGGTAGGTTTTACAGAGGAAACGCTACGGGTTTCCTCTGTAAGGAAAGTCATAGCATAAAAGCACTTAATTGCAGCCTGCAAACCAGCTGACTATGACCCCATTGAGCATCAAGCCAAAATCAGGTGACATTCCCATTTGAAACCATTTTGCAATTCAAATCTCATAGTTGTTTTCATTGTTTTCAGTGAATAATTTACCTGCCCTTAAAGAACATCATTTCTCCACGTAAGGTGGCAACAGCATCAAAAGTGGTCCTGGGGTCACAAGCTGTTGGTGTTGTGGGTCCTGTTGGTTGGACTTGGTTATTTGTTTTACCTAAAAGGAAGAAGAAGTGGACAAAACTATGCATCATTGTAAAGCAATCAAATATGGAACCTCAAGGTTTTCTAAAGTTGGCATATTTTATCAGATGTGAAACTACAAATGGCAAAAGAATATTCCTTCTTTCAGACTGATGCTTCATGCCCCCCCCCCCATTAGACATACCATAGATGGCTTGGATGCCATTGATATCATCCTGTGGAAGCCTAAATAAATTAGGTGCTGTGTAAGAGTAGGTGGGGTACATCAATGCCCCAGGGTCAGTGGAATGAGACAGGCCAAGAGAATGCCCAAGCTCATGGGCAGCAACAAGAAAAAGGCTGTAGCCTGAAAAAAAATCCATAGAAAAGGTATTTAGGCTTCAATTTGGAACACAAAGGCAAATATTAAACCAAAATCTACTACTTTCATATGCTCTTGCGAATCACAGTTCAAACCAGAGGGTCTTTTACATTACATGGTTATAACAATACGATTCCATTTTACTGGCAATAATTATATCCTGTGGAATCTGTTAGAGACATCTAAATGTATGTGTTATAAACTTCAAATCCCAGTTTTCCATAGGAATCAGTGATTATATTTTAAGTGGAATCACAACTCGGCAATTATGTCGTGTGAAAGCAGTACAACTATGCCACAAATTGGGGCCAATTTTCACTTAATACTCATCAGTAGCCACAAGTACATAATTAGAGGGACCCAGAAGTTGGGTTCCAGTTCTCCCTGTTTTCTGCTTAAGAATTAGCAAAGCATACCTCGTGAACCTTGGGTGGTCCAAATTTCATCATCGTCAAAATGGACATCTCCACCAATATTGTCTCCTGGCTGAAAGGCATGTGCCAGCACCCCATTAGGACCATCAAAAGGAGAATTGTCTCTGTGGTCTAAATATAGAAAAGTGAATGAGTTCAATCATGTTTTCAAACTTTGCTTAGAAAATGCAAAAGGTACCTTTGCTCTTGAGGTCTATCTTCATAAATTTCATTCTTGCAGACAAGCACAAATTTGTTCTTACTGTGAGAAAGTCATCAAAACTACACACATTTTCAAAACTGATTGGCACTTATTCTGTACAAAAATTGCAATTTTGACAAAAAAGAAGACATTTTCTTTGCAGAATATAACAAAAATGTAGGGTGTTTTTGGTCCAGAAAACTTTCTGTCTTGCAGAGAAAATACTATTTTCTGTACAAAAGACCCACATGCATTTATAGTGCCAAATGAGCCCTGAACTACGAAGACTTCATCTAGGTTGAAGTCTTATAGCCCATCTAGGTTTCTTGTTATTAGAGGTTCCTAATAGTTGAGAAACTCACTTAAAATGTTTTTTCAATGTTCTTCAGTATTTGATATTTTGACTTTTTTGAGTGAGTTACCTCGTATTTCGAAAGACATCATTATATCAGCTATGCCATCATAAAGTCTTTTGAAGGTCAGGGGTGAGGCTTTGCTCCATACTTCAAAGGCTTTTTCTATTGCTTTGTTCACATCAGACTGATGCATATCTGGTGTGTAATTCACAATCCTATAATAGAAAATATGAATAAAACTATGATGAGCCCAAGATACTGCTTAGAAAGAGGAGGAGAATGGCATTGATCCCTCTTCTTCTAGAAATGAAGGCAACTGAAGCACAGCGAGAGAAGTATCCCTGTGCTTCCATATCACCAGAGGTGGTCTTTGCTGAGAAATAGCGGGATCGACCACTGGAGTGACACGGTCATTTTGTGGAGGGAGGGAATGACCTTTTTGAGTGCCACTTTTGCATCTGATTCCATCATAAACACAGCAGATGATACAATACATGACACAATGCATTTGCTTTCTATTTTTAGGGTGGGTGGGAGGCAGCCCCAACTGGTTAAGCTTACCGGATGAGATAGGTCTTCAATGGTATCTTGAATTCTGGCAGCTGATTTAGCTGTTGAATCTCTTCCAGCAGGACATTTCACAGAAAGTTACTACAGAGTCACTATGGAGGACCTAGCAAATTCTTACAGAGGATACTTCTGTAGAAATTATAGGTCCTCCAGTGTGACTCTATGCTGAAGCTGAAAGTCAAATAGTTTGATGTTTCATGGTTTCAGATAATTGTAGTGAACTGGAATATATCTCCCAAGGATATGAGAATCTCACTGTACTAATTAAAATAGACCAACTGAGTCAATGAAATCTATAAAGGAACCTGGAGGTTTCAGTGTTAACAGGAAAGCAGATTTGCTTAGGATTTTAGCAATCTAAGCTGCTGACCTTATCTTCAAAATAAATTCAGAACCTTGGATAACTCCTTCATGGTCCCACAGACATTTGAGTCATCAACCACAAATGGATGTATTCTCATTGGGACTAACAGTTGGTCCACTGATATACATTGAAAATTAAAATGATTTTACCTATTGTAATGTAAGCCTCTACTTCATGAAAATAATCCACCTTTACCTATATGTGAGATTGTTCTTTTTCCACTTGGGATTCCCATCAGTGAGGACAAATCCTCCAAAGTCTGGAACCCCACACCTGGCTTTCTTCATCACTGCCAAAGTTTCATTGTCAGGTTTCCCAGTCACTTTCAGCCGGAAAAAATGCTGCATTTTCTTGAGCTTTTCAGTCAAAGTGACATTGTCATCATAATAGAATGGTGCGATGGCCTCATTTTCAGTGGTGTAATAATTATTTAAATAATTCTGAAAGAGAGGAACACACGTTATAAAAACAAACTATACTTTTAGGTTACATTAACAAAACAAACTTAAGTATTAATTCAATATATCTAGGATCCTGTCTCTCCTTACCAGACTGAAATCATCTGATGAAGTAAAGTTAGTCTACAAAAGCTTATATTATAAACTTCTTTAGAACGTGCTGTAAGATTTCTGCAGACTAACATTTTTGTGTGTGTCAGGAGCAACTTGAGAAACTGCAAGTAGCTTCTGGTGTGAGAGAATTGGCTGTCTGCAAGGACATGGCCCAGAGGTCACCCAGATGTTTTACCATCCTGTGAGAGGCTTCTCTCAAGTCCCACATGGGAAGCTGGAACTGACAGATGGGAGCTCACCCACTCCCCGGATTCCAACCACTGACTTTTTGGTCAGCAGTCCTGCTGGCACATGGGTTTAACCCATTGTGCCACTGGGGGCTCCTACATGTTTAGGAGCCCCCAGTGCATTTGTCTTTCACCCAGAGTGGGATCAATGGTGGTGCCCAAAAACTATCAATTAAAAAGTATTCAAAATAAAATGTAAAACATTTTAAGCCAAACAAAACAGCATAAAAACATATCTTCAAAAAATAAACACAAATTTGAAAAGGACTTTTCCCCAGCCATGAATGGTGGAATCCATAGGTGAAGAATCCATGGATATGGAGGGTCAACTCTAATAGCTTTTTGTGTTCCCCGAAGTCTCACTATCTTATGCACCTTACAATAATATTACACATAAATGCCAAATCAAAATCTTAAAAAAGAGTATTAAATCCATTAAACTGAAGAAATATTTTCCTAGAACTTTTAATGGGAATGAATTGGGAAAAATGTGCAAATAATTTGAAAAAAGGTGGGGTACAACTAAAAAACTTTAATTATTAGTTCGAACTATAAACAACCCAGTGTCTTGATGATTGAATTGTCAACATTTACCTAAATCACAGTGATTTAATAAATCTACTCCAATTAGGACATGCAATAATGAATAAATCAAGGCGGAACTAATTATTGGAGCTTCTTGGGAGTCATAGTGCTGGCCTTGAAAAGAACATTTTATGTGGCAAAAAGAGAGAAAGAAACAAATTTTCATTTAATAAATGTTTTGGCAATTCAGGGTGGATTTCTTACCTTAACAATATTCATGTCTGCATCCTGTCTGTCTAGATCCACTGGTGCAGCAAACGTGGATACAAAGCTGAAGAGCAGAACTAGAAGGCACTTCATTCTGCCAATTCCAGCAGTGTCTTCCTTTCTCTATGATGTTTATTATTTCTTCTGTTTTGGGATACTTGTGTTCTGTTCATCTTCTGCTTATATAGCCGCTGGTGGCTTCTCTGACTCATAGGGTTCAATATCCTCTGATTAGCAAGCAGAGATAGGCTCATCGTTGAGTAAGAGTCATAGAATGTCCATTTTCACAACCACTTTAAAAAAGGAAGAAGTTTTACACAATGTCCCAACATGCTGCAATAATCAAATCTCTTCCCTTAAGTTTGTTCCCATGCACAGGGACTCAGGTTTGCACTTGATATATGGGGCATTCTACTAGAGCTCAGATGACCTGAAATGATACTTATTTTCGCAAATGTTTTGTCCAGAAGCCTGTTGGTGCACCAATCTTATTATACTGCCCTTGTGCCAACATAGGACATTATGAGGGTTGAATGAAAAGTAATGCCTCCACCTTTGTTACTTGGGTTTGGATGGGGATATTTTAATAAATCAAATGCAGAAATAATCCTTAAAATGTGCTCTTTAACTACCACTCTTCACTTTTCCATATAATCACCAGACAATTGGATACATTTCTGCCAACGATGAACAAATTTTCTGAAGCCATCACAGAAGACGTCAACACTCTGTTTCCTCAACCAGCTTCTCACAGTTCTCTCAACATCTTCATCAGAAGCATAATGATGCCCCCACAGATCTTCTTTCATTATCAGGAACAGATGGAAGTCAGATGGTGCTAAATCTGGACTGTATGGAGGATGTCGTACGGTGGTAAGATCCAGTCTCTGAAGTTTCAAGTCTGTGCACTTTCATTTCAGGCATCAACATCCTAGGTACCCATCATGCACAGATCTTCTGATAACCAAGCAAAGCAATAATGTGACCCACACATTCTTGTGAAATGCCATTTATGCTTGAAATTTCTCTCTGAGTGATAAAACGATCGCCCTAAATCAATCTGTCAGCCTTTTGCTTGTAAAACTCGGTGGTTGCTGTCACAGGATGTCCAACTCTTTGTTTGTCATGCAAGTCAGATATTTCCACCTCAACATCTTTAAACTTACTCGCCCAATGATGCACAATACTCACATCAACACAATCACCACAAACAGCTAGCATCCTCTGATGAATCTCCTTTGGGGTTCAAATTCAAAGACTACATGTTGCTTAAGTCACATTGACCGACCGTCTGTGCCAGGTTCCATACTTCACACTTTAACAACATCACAGTTCAATGCTAAGGCTTCCCACCAAAATGGAAATGTAGTGGAGAGTCTACTGAACGAGCCAGTACCTGCCACATACCAGTACTGCCATCTGTTGAAGAGTTATGAAGGTGGAGGCATTACTTTTCATTCAACCCTCGTATTTTGAATGTTGGACTAGGACTCTGTGATATCATGGTTCAATAGCCCATGAAAACTAACTATGGAAACCCATTGTGTGATCTTGGACAAATAGCAAATATCCTCTGAATACATCTGGTAGGGTCACCATTACAAGATGAAGTAACGTAACAAGCACATTTTTGCAGGTGCCTGCATCAGAGGGATGGAGGCAGATGGAGGCTGACTCTACAATGTAGAATCAATGCAAGCTCCATGTCTTCTGTGTAGTTCTGAATACTCAAATATAAATGGAAGTATATGAAATGAGTATTAGAAATAAAATGGATTCCATAGCTTTCAAACTTTTTCTCACTCATATTAGAGCAATGGTTCTCAACCTGCAGGTCCCCAGATGTTTTGGCCTACAACTCTCAGAAATCCCAGCCAGTTTACCAGTTGTTAGGATTTCTGGGAGTTGAAGGCTAAAACATCTGGGGACAAACAGCTTAAGAACCACTGTGCTAGAGGATACATGTCTCTAGATTATGATATATTGATCTCATAATTCTATCAGTGATATAAATTCTATCCAAGAATCTCAGAATCAGTGAAGTATTGTCAGATAAGGTGACAGATTCCAGCAGTGTCACTTTTTGTAATTGTGTCATTGTGATCCCATCTGCAGTGATTTCACCTAGATGCTTCGGCAGCCCATTTGGAATTATTTCCAGAACACCTTTCACTACTAGGACTGCAGTTGCTTTCTTTCTCAGAGGCACTGAAACTCATTTGCACTTGATATATGGTGATCTTTATATTTGGTGATCCTCTCCTTTTTCTTTGAATGCACCTACACTGTAGAATTAATGCAGTTGGACACCACTTTAACTGCCATGACTCAATGCTATGAAATCACAGAAATTGTCATTTTCCAAGATCTTTATCCTGTTCTGCCAAAGGGTGCTGGTGCTTCATCACCTACAACTTCCAAGATTTCATAGCAATGAGACATGGCAGTTAAAATCCTTATAGCGCTGATATATTCATAATTATTGAAGTCACCAGAGAAAGTTACCCCATCAACTTTTCTACTTCCACTTTGAGTTCCACCCATGGGAGAAAGGCTGGATAAAAATGAATTATTATTATTATTATTATTATTATTATTATTATTATTCCGAATTCAGACAGACAGAGTTTTGGAGCACAATACTCCTGACCTCACAATTGTGTTAAAACACAAAGTATGAATTGTTGATGTTGCAATCCCAGATGACAGCAGGATTGAAGAGAAACAACTGGAAAAGCTGACACGATATGGGGATTTAAAAATCGAACTGCAAAGACTCTGGCACAAGCCAGTCAAGGTGATCCCAGTGGTGATCGGCACACTGGGTGGGGTGCTTAAAGACCCTGGCCTGCACTTAAACAGAATCGGCGCTGACAAAATTACCATCTGCCAGCTGCAGAAGGCCATCTTACTGGGATCTGCACGCAGTATTCACCGATACATCACACAGTCCTAGACATTTGGGAAGTGTCTGACGTGTGATCCAATACAACAGCCAGCAGAGTGTTTTCTGTGGACTCATCTTGTTGTGTTTCTAATAATAATAATAATAATAATAATAATAATAATAATAATAATAATTCCACCCCATTATTGGAACTCATTTTTAGACAAATTGTTACTGGTTGTCCATTCTTCCATTCAACAGGTTCATGAGCTGAAGATTCTCCATCACATTCAATCCTGACAGATTACGAATCCTCCAAGTTTCAACTGGGTTCCCAAAAACCAGGATGTCCATTTGGGCAAACAACTGTTATTCTAAAATGTCTTTCTATGGTCATTTTCATTCCTTTTGCTGTGATGCTTTGCCATCATACCGACATCAGGGTCCCATTCCATGACCCATTTTTCTCGCCTTTCCTTTCTTTTTGTCACTGATTTTGGACTGTGTGTTGGAAAGTTTGGCTGTGCTGTCTGAGTTGTTGGGAGATGTCCTGTAATTCTGCATATATCTCCTTTTTCTTCTTTTTTCTTTGCAATTGAATGATATTTCTCATGAAATGTTCTTTCTCATAAAAGTTGAAATGACCAGACAGGAAGAAGCCTTATTTAATATGAAATTGTCATGTATTCATATATACATGAATGGAGATTTGCAACAGACTGAAGGAAAATCTTATTCATATAGTACATCATCGATGTATAGGATATGACAACACCAGATGTGGTTGCCAATGGTTCAAAGGGTTCCCTTAAAAAGGGAATTTGACACATTTATGGAGAACTCCATCACCAAGTATTAGTCACGATGGCTGTTTGCCCCTTCCAGCATGACAACAAGGGAGAAGTTTATATCCTATTTGGGGGCTTCCTGCAAGGCATACAGTTGGTTCCTGTGGGAACAAATGGGTCTGTTTAAGGAGCTCCTCTGGCTGCCGTTCATTTTCCGATCCCAATTCAAGGTGCAGGTTCTGACCTACAAAGCCCTGAACGGTTTGAGACCCGCCTACCTGTGTGACTGCATTTCTGTGAACGAACCCACATGATCTCTTCGTTCATCTGGGGAGGCCCTGCTCTCGCTCCCACCTCCCTCGCAGGCACGATTGGTGGGGACAAGGGAGAGGGCCTTCTCCATTGTTGCCCCTCGACTCTGGAACTCACTCCCCAAGGATATCAGACAAGCCTCCACATTGGCAGTCTTTAGGAGGAGCCTGAAAACGTGGCTGTTCCAGTGTGCCTTCCCTGAATAAAGGAAACAATCCTCTGCAAATACTCTGAGGAGCACTTTAATTACCCATTGGGTTGCTCTTTACTTTTGATTTAAAACCCTCCAAATAGATACATCCTCTGTTCATGTCTAGCATTTATTTTTAAAGTTTTAACTATTACATTTGGCCCAGCCAAGGTTTTTAAATTCTTGTGTGTTATTGTCTACTTGTGAGTTATATTAATTGTATTGTTTATTTTGTTTTTTGCTTGTTATTTTATTATTGTTGTTGTTTTTGATGTGTTGTTGGGCTTGGCCTCATGTAAGCCACTCTGAGTCCCTTGGGGAGATGGTGGCAGGGTATAAATAAAGTTTTATTATTATTATTTCTTCTGATTCAAGATGGTTCTTCTCTTGTGCTCCCTTTCAAGTCTGTGCAAAGATCTACAAGTTTGTCAAAATTATAAATAAAAAAAAGAATTTAACTTACAGCAGTGTGCCATCTAATGTCACAAAATGTAAACATCAGGATTTATTAAAGATTGTTGCTTTGTAAAATTGGTTCCTAGTTTATCTCATTTGGGTTTGATTCCACGTAAAGAAGTCAATATTTGGTAATATGGCATCACACTTCACACTTGTGTGTGTAGGTACCATCAAATGTCAAACACACATTACACACACACAAATTTTAACTATTTCCTTGGCTTTTTTAGGCTGTTTGAACTACCATTGCTCCATTCTTTATGCACACACACAAACAGACTTCTTCCTAGAAGGTCAAATCTTAAATGATTCAGATGAAGTGATGAACAATATTTCCTCCATGAATCATAGAATCATAGGGATGGAGGAGACCACAAAGGGCTTACAATACAACCCCCTGACATGCAGAAATATAGAATAAAAGCAAACCCAAGAGATGGCTGTGCAGTCTCAGTTTAAAGATCTCCCATGAAGGAAACTAGTATATGCAAAGACAGTGTATTCCATATTTGAA